GCAGAGGATTGGAGACCAGCTGGAAGACATGGAAAGAGGGCTGGGACCCAGTCTTAGGTGTTTTCCTGAGTGTCTGTGTGAGCCTAACTTTGTGAGACAGACACTGCCTGGCCTAGAAATGCTGGGTGAAACCTCCGGGCAGGGGTATGAGTGTGGATGGGGGGTGGACGCTGCTCTCCTGCCTCACCCATCTAGAATAGGTGGGCTGGTTGATCCTGGGGGACAGGACCTCAGAGGCACTGAAGGCAATGCTGGGCCGTTCCCTGTGGCTCTTTGGAACTTCTGCCGCTCACCCTGTGTTCTCTTTCAGATCTTTCCAGAACAGCAGTCGCAGTAGCTATGGCTCCATCCTGGGTGCCCGCTGTGGGCCTCACTCTGGTACCCAGCCTGGGGGGCTTCATGGGCTCCTACTTTGTGCGTGGTGAGGGCCTCCGCTGGTATGCTAGCCTGCAGAAACCCTCCTGGCATCCACCTCGCTGGACACTGGGTCCCATCTGGGGCACAATGTATTCGGCCATGGGGTAGGTGGTTGCAGGTGCCACCTTGCAGTGCCCTGTTCCCCATGGCATCAGGCTGGGCATTGAACCCCTGTGCAGAGGGAGGCCCCAGGACAGAGTGGCATCATCCCCCGCCCCCCCCCCATGGGAAAGGGAGGGTGGCAAGGCTGCCAACCTATGCGTTGCAAGATTGAACTTTTTCCTGCTTGTTTCTGGGAACCCAGCCTGGGTTCACACTACTGAGGCTGCCCCATGTATAAAGGTCAGTGTGGACAACAGCACCATGTGCCAGGACAAACGTGGCAGCTGTGTCCTTTGGTTGTACCGTACAGAACCAGACCCCGGTGTGGTTCATTCCCAGGAGCCCTCTGCAGCCACTGCCTCATGGCCCCAAGAGACTGAGCGACTAAGCTGCCACTTGCTTGTCCCCTTATCCCCAGAACAGTTTCGTCGTCCTGAAACTACACACAGACTAGGGTCTCAAGTCAACTCTCCATAGCAATCTTAGAAGAGACAAAGACCCAGAGAGGGCAAGCAGCTTCTCTGAGATCACACAGAAGTCAGCGGCAGGGCATACACACCTAAGCCATCACCGAGCGGTCTCGGGAGGGTAGCACTCTTGGCCTTGCCCTGTGATGTCCTGACCCACTGTCTGTTTCAGGTATGGCTCCTACATGATCTGGAAAGAGCTGGGAGGTTTCACAGAGGAGGCTGTGGTCCCCTTGGGTCTCTACACTGGCCAGCTGGCTCTGAACTGGGCATGGCCCCCCATCTTCTTTGGTGCCCGGCAGATGGGCTGGGTAAGTGTAGCCACAGCTTGACTCTTGGGTCACTGGAGATGACCCTGGGAGGACAGGTGATATCACATCCCAGATGACATCAGTATCTGCAGGTGGTGGTGGTGGGGAGGCCTGTGACTTGCGGGCCCCTTTAGAAGTTCCGTGAGTCAGGTGCAGTGGGGCCCCTGTAGTCCCAGCTCTCAAGAGGTTGAAGTGGGAGGATCAGTTGAGCCCGGCAGAGGGCTAGGCCAGCCTAGGTGACAGTGACCTGTGTACCAACGCCGCCTCAGTCCATCTTCCCTCCATGAAGAAAGTCCAGAGGGCCAGGCGGAAGTGGGTGGGGCTCTGGTCTTGGGCTTAGAAGCCACGGCAAGAGACACCAGCCTCACATCCGATGCTGTGTGTGATGACACTTGGGGACAAAGCCTCTCCTTAAAAATGTTCTTGTTCGGGTTTGGTGATACATGCCTGGCCTGCAGTCCCGGCAGAGGCAGGAGGATTGCTTTAAGTCTGACAGCCTAGTTCTGAACTACAAGGCTAGTTCAAAGTTAAGACTACATAGTGAGACCTTCTTGGAAAAACAAAAGCTATTGCTGAGCCTGTGACGTGCACACCCCAGCAGTCTGACCCCCTCACACCGGCCTCTCGGGTCAGCACTTGACAACGTTGTATCTTCAGGTCAGAAACCTTCCAGCCACCCCTTCACCCTTGGACATGCTGTGTCCCCTGGGGGCTGTCATACACAGGGCTGTCTCCATGCATGGCACAGAGGCAGGGACTTACAGACCAGGAAACTGAGGCTGAGAACAGAGCAGAGGCAGCCATCACACCTCAGGGGTGCAGTCAGGGCGAAGCGAGACTTCTAACTTCCAGACCCAGCAGGGTCTTAGCCTCCCCACCTCCTGTCTCCTGCAGGCCTTGGCAGACCTTGTGCTCGTCAGTGGGGTTGCAACCGCCACCACCCTCGCCTGGCACCGAGTGAGCCCGCCAGCTGCCCGCCTGCTCTACCCCTACCTGGCCTGGCTGGCCTTTGCCACCATGCTCAACTACTATGTCTGGCGTGACAACCCTGGCCGGGGAGGTGGCCCACGGTTCCCAGAGTGAGTGCACCTTTACCCATCAGGACCACAGCCATGCCGGCCAGGTACCATGGACGGTAGCCCATCAAGCTTTCATGACCACTGGGCCTGCCTGGTCTACCTGGGTCTTGCTTGGCCCAGGGAGCCACCAGGCAGGTCAAGGTGGTCAGTGCCAAGTCCCACCCAGGGACAGTTGTACCTGCCTTTCTGCGCTGCTCCAGGCATGCCCTAGGAACATGGGGCTTTTAAAGCTAAATAAAGTCTTTAACTTCACGTATAGTAGACTCTGTACTTTGTGGGGCGCCTGGTCTGTGGGACAGCAGAGGCTATGGCCATACAGCATGGTTCTGCTGCTGAGGCTGGGCCTGTCTGGGCTGCATCACCCAGCTTTTCCAACCTAGGGTGGCTCGCCAACACCCAACCTGCAGGAAGGGGGTGTTGAGTCCCAGCACCAGAGGCGGGGCCATCTTGCTGGCCCAGACCCGCCTACCCCAGGAGCTGTCACCTACCCCTCCCCAGGGCTCCATTTGGGTGACCTATAACCACTTTAGGCAGCAGCTGGGACACAGGACAAGGTGCCTTTCACACAGCCACTGTCTCAGCCCCCACCCTGCTTCCACACGCCTCATGGGTATGTATGGTCCCCACAGGGCACCCGTGCCGGACACTTTTAGGGACAATGAACCTGAGACTCGGAGGGGCTTCCTGGCATTGCTTTCATTGTCACACATGCAGGTCACACAGCCCCAGCAGCGCTCCACACGATACCTGCAGGCCACAAAGCAATTCTGCTCAATTGGGGGTCACGTGCTTCCCCAGTCCACCCCTAGAGGCACCCTCTGGTCTAGGCTGCCACCAGCAGTCACCACAGTAGTCTGCAGCCTTTAATGAGAAGGGCACGCGGCATCTGCTGGTTTAAATCACTCCCTGGTCTGGGCTCCTTCCTGCAGAAGCCTCAAACCTTCACATTTATGTCCCCAGCCAAGTGACGACAGAGGGGCTGGGTGGCCACCCGTCAGCAGGGAAGCCATGTTGACTCACACTAGGAGTCGGTTGTCAGTTTGTGGTCAGCAACTGGCATCTCCCTGGAGCCTGAGCAAGGGCCAGAGTTCTGCCTCCTTCTTGAGCAGCATTGCTGTTGCCGCCTGGGCTCTCCAGCTAACTCCACGTGCCCAAGGTGGGCAAGTGCTGGTCTCTGGTGACCCCTTAGACAGAGAAAGCGATCAGGGTGTGGATGTCTCTCCAACTGGCTGGAGGCCAAGCCCGAGGTTGCTGTGCCAACTGGAGTATGTGGGGAGAGAGCCTGACTGCTTTAGAAAAATTTTAAATTATATTGTATGGTGATATTTTATTTGTGCTGAAATGTGATTTTATTTGTATGTTAATAGTTGCCTGGGGGGGGGGTCAGAGCTAATAGCAAGGCATTTAGCAGAAGTCTGGCAGTGGTAGCACACGCCCTTAATCTGATCACATGGCAGAGTCTGTGTGTTCAAGGACATACCCAGCTTGGTGACACACGCCTTTAATCCAAGTACCAACCATAGAGACCTGGAGGTCTATATAGACAGGCAGTGATGAAGAAGTCATGTGGTTGGGTTTAGAACCAATGAGAAGGCAGAACAGAAAGTCAATAAAAAATAGACACACAGGAAGTAGGCCTCTTTCTCATGGGAAGGATGGCAGCGGCTGGTAAGCTAAAGGCCATTCACTAGTGCTCTGACCTCTTGGGCTTTTAACTCTTTATTTGGCTCTGTGTTTCTTATTTAATAAGGCTGCTTGGAATTACATCTACAATATTGTATGTACATGCACCCCCACTCACATGTACCATGGTGGACACATGGAGGCCGGAGGACAACCCGTGGGAGTTGGTCCTTTCCACCATGTAGGTCCTAGAGGAGGTCTTCAGGCTTGGCAGCAGGTTCCTTTACCTGATGCATCATCTTGCTGGTCCTCCATGGAGGGCCATCCCCGTGGGACCGCTGAACCAATGCCCTGGCATCTCAAGCATTTGTCCTGAGGGGCACAGATGACCCCTTGTTGGGTGGCTGCTCAGAAGCAGTGTGGCCTTGGCTCTGGGCTCCGTCTTGCTCCTGGGACAGCTCTGCCTTATGTGTTTTAACACGGTGCCACTCAGTAGGGCCTGTGTCCTTCATCAGCCCCCATACCCTCTTGGCCACCCCATGAGTCGGGGCCTCTCGTTCCCACCCCAGAACAAGTAGACAACACAGAGAAATGTCATTTCCAGACCACCAGGTGGGCCAAGCCTTAGGCCCTATGAACCCCAAAGCCCCCGGGGGTTGGAGTGTAGCCAGCACAGGTCAGAGCGCTTCTCCAGCTTGGAACCAGGACTCTCACTAAGAGGTCAAAATGGGATGGGGAGCTGGGAGGACCACTGGCTTTCTTTTTCTTCTCTCATTTCTCAAAAGCACACACGGTGGTATGGTGGGTTCTGCCCACAAGTGGGGGACACACTGTCATGCCAGCCCAGGCCTGTGCCTCCAGGGCCCCAAAGAGGAAGGACCAGGTGAAAAGGAGACATATTTTATTGCAGTATAAAAGGGCAGGGGGGCCAGCAGCTCTCCAGAGAGAAAACCACAGGGGTCGGTCCTGCCCCGGCCGAGGCTGCACCCAGCACACTGCACCCAGCACGCTGCACCCAGCACGGATCACCAGGCTCGCTAGCAGGTGGCCCACATACCCCGAGACGGGCAGGAAGAACCATGTCCAGTTATGCTAAGAGGGTCACTTTTCCCTTCAAAAGTGCAGCAGCCGCCGCCGCCACCACAGTGCTCCACCCTCCTGAGTGGCAGATCACCCTGGAGGCGGCTCCCACCCACTCCAACCAGACCCACTCACTAGTGGGCTGGACCCAGGTACCCCGCAGGTACAGAAACAATGGCGGCTGACTTCAGATTCCAGTAACAAAATGAGGAACTAGATTTTACATTTTCTTTCTGTAGGTTAAAAGACACACACACACACACACACACACACACACACACACACACACACACACACACACACACACACACACACTTGGACTCTAGGCCTTGGCAAGAGGCAGCCTGGCTGACTTCCACAGGAAGTTCTCCCCAGAGCCATCTGAGCAGGCCTGGCATTTCCATTGTCACCCTTGTCCAGAGTCTGCCATGGAGCCTCACAACTCCAGAGCACCCTGATCACCTCAAGAGGCCAGCGGATCTTGGTGAGATGCCGGCGTGCAGAGGTCAGCTTCCCATAAGGGAAATACCAAGCCGGGCCTGGCTGGGAAGTCTGCTGGTGAAGGCTCTGGTGAAGGCGATGCCCAGGCATAAGGCTAGGTTGGCAAATGTTTTCCCCTGGCTGTTCTGGGGCCTGTGGGTACAATACAGGGTACTGATACCCTGTTTACAGCAGCCATGGGAAAGGAGGGCGGAGATCCTGGGAAAGAACTCCCTGGCCCCGCTGGATACGGGGTTCCCAAACACTTCCCTGTGGAACCCTGTTTCTGCGGAACACCTCTTCCTCTGTACGAAAACTCTGGGTGCACCCAGGCCTGCGGACATCACTCACTGTCCAGCTCTGCCACGTGGTATGGACCTGATGTCCCACATAAGAAGCAGGAACATGGCTCAGAGGGCAGAGCCTAACTGAGGCCAAGGCTCTGGCTGGGGAGGAAAGGAGGGGAGAGGGAGGAAGGGGAGGAGGGAGAAGGCTGGGCCGGCGGAAGCAGCTCCATGAGCAGGGGCTGGAACCAGCTGTGAGCAGAGGCAGGAGGAGGGCTTTGGGCACCTAGATGATGCGGGTGACGTGACAGCCGGCGGGCTCATCCAGAAACAAGGTGCTGAAGACATCGTTGAAGAACGTGGGGTGGTATCTGCAGGCGCGCTCACAGTCGGGGTTGAAGTTCACCTCCAGGATCTGGGGCTGCATCACCCGCTTTCCTGGTGGCGAAACCGAGAGGTAGGAGGACTGTGAAGGCAGCAAGGTCGGGGTACACATCTGTCTTGGGAAAGTGTGGGATGGGGACTGTGACTTAGGCCCCGATTCTCAGTGTGTGGGTAACAGGGTGTGATTTGGAACATGGATTTTCTGGCTTGACACCTGTTCCCCAAGACTGGAGCCACTCCTAACCCCATTACCCTTAGGGCAATGAGCACACATCGCTTCAAGCTTCGATGACCAGTTTGGTCAGAGCGACCAGCTCACAGGGCTGGGAGGGCAGCTCCAGCTCTCCTGTCCTGAGTTCTCGTGGCCCCCAGTCGGCTACCTTCCCCCGCATTCTGGTGCAGGTGTATTCCCTGTCTCACTCAGTGGATCAGCCAGGATACCCACGCGGGACCACCCGGGAAATGTCTCTGTGAAAAGACAGCCATGGGCTGGAGACATGGCTCAGCAGTTAATTAAGAGCATCTGATGTTTTTGCAGAAGACCTGGACTCAGTTTCTAGAATCCACATGGTGGCTCACAATCATTCTTAACTCCAGTTCCAGGGGTCCTGTGTCTTTTGACTCATCAGGATACCAGGCATGCACACAATACACACACACCTCAAACACAGTACACGTACACACACCCCTACACCTCAAACACATAAAACAAAACACAACAAAAGACAGCCAGGACTGTCCTGGGTGCTGCTGGCAGGGCTGGGGACAGGAGGACTGGGCAGGGAGTGGGTCTTGGTGTGGAGACAGTCCCCTTACCACCTGGATGGCTATCCCACTTGAGCATGAGGTCAACAGCATATACGGCTCGGGATGAGGGGTAGTCGCAGAGGCCCATGGGGGGCGGCTTGGCACATGCCACCTGGAACAGCTCTGTGAAGGCCTTGAAGATCTCGGCCTGGGGACAAGGAATGCTCCGTCATAGGGCGTACTCACCCTGACTTTGGAACTAAGAAGGCCCACTGCCCACTGTCTCTGTCTGAGCCCTGTCATCCAGGTCATCTCAGGCCCAGGTCATCTCTCTTATATTCTTAATGTCTCTAGGCTTGGCAAGATGGCATGTCTGCCTGTCCCCATACTCCTGGAGTCCATTCCGCTTTGCATTAAGGAAGGAGCCCAGAACTCATGAATTCTAGGCAAGCACTCATCTCCAAGCCATGCCCCAGTGCAGGAATCTACCTCCAACAAATCTGCTGATTGCCTATCCTATGACTAGGCCCCCCATCACTCCGTGTGGCCCCAAGGGCTTGGATTTCTGGGGCTGGTGGAGACTATTGCTCTTGGGCTACCTTAGGATGCCCCAAATTCCCTCGTTCCTGCTGAGGAACAGTCTGAAGAGCCTCCAGGTGCACCACACATGGGCCCAGAGTGCAGGGAGGGATCTTAGCCCAGCCATCTCTCCCCGCCCCAGTGAGAAGATGACCCCTCTATCTGTGAGGGAAGGGGGGGGCTTCCAGAACCCCAGCCTGGCAGAGCCCAAGACTCACCTGGACACCACTCCAGGGAAACTCTGGGTACTGCTTCTCGAACTGGGGGATGAACTCATCATAGTGCACCTGCAACAGACGAGAGCCAGTTACGGGGGCAGCGGCAGTCTCTAGACTGAAAGCAGGGCCATCAGCCCACAGGACAGGGTTCAGTCCAGCTCTGGCCCGCAGGGTACACGAGGACTGGAGACCAAGGTTAGTCTAGACAGGCAGAATAACCACTCCGAGCCTCAGTTTCCTCTTCTATGAAAAGGGTATCACTCCCTGCTCAGTCCATGGACTTTACAGGGCTGTTGTAAGGCTCAAGCGAGGAACAGAGGGTCAAAGGCTATCAGGCATGGCTGTCACACCCAGCTCAGCTCAGCCAACTGGCAGCAGGGCCCTGCCCCCCTCTGCAGGGCCCCCCTTCGGAAGCACCCTAGGACAAGATCTGTGGACCAAGACTTTACCCCAAACATCTCAGTAAAGTGGCTCAGGTTTCTCCCAGAGGAGAAATCCCTGCTCAAAGCGCTTCTCAGGTGACACCATCACGAGGCAGAGGCAAAGAGCTCAGTGTCCTCAGGGCTGGCTTCCAACGATGCCAAGGGCCTTGATGCGCAGTCTGGGTCCTGGCTTTCAACCCAATCAGAGGTAAGAGGGACAAGACGCAACAGGACCACTCAGGGTCTGGGTCAGCAGAGCCACCCTGTGGTGGCCGTTCCTTCCTCACAAACCCACTTAGAAGACGCTTGGGCAGGGCACAGAGAGGCACCTCCGAGAGCCGTCTGTCGTGGGAACCAGGTGCTTCTGCGCCCAGTACTCACATGCGGAGCTGAGGCAGGGGAACTGAGAGCTCAAGGCTAGCCTGGGCTACGTGAGGCCATGTCTCACCAAAAAACAACTAACTGGAAATGAATACAAAAAGAACTAAGGTGTGCCTGCAAAGGGAAAATCACACATTCCGGGAAGGGAGGGGAGCGAGGTATATAGTACAGGGTTTCCTGGTCTCCTGTCGGACAGGGTCGTCAGGGGTTACGAGCTTACACTCCTTAGCCTGTCACCATGTCAGAGAGGACCCTGATGTAACAAACCAGTCTACCACTCCCTTCCTCCCCACCCCAGAGTTAGGACCTGGTGCCAGCACCCTACTGTCCCGGGTACACTGCTGGCCTGCCGTCTGCCCTGATGCCTTTAGCACTGGCCTGCAGATGGCACTGCCACCTCATAGTACCCGCTGTGTGGCAGGGAGCCCTATGGAGACCTCACTGCACTGACGCATCTTGGGATCAGGAAATCCTGCTCCTCCATCGTTAACACTGGGTACTCTTGAGCACTGTGGGAAAGACCTCCTGAGAGGACACAGGTCCTGACTGCGACAGACAGAAGAACCTAGACTTGCTCTTGGGCCCCGCCAGGCCCTACCTGCTTCAGCACCACGTCTGGGTCATAGTTCATGACGGTGAAATGCTTCTCATAGTCGTCTAGGTCATTGAGTGCGAAGGGCCTGCGGAAAAGCGGACGGACAAGCGTGGGCTCCCAAGCTCCATGGAGAGCAGCCACACACTGCTGGCTGGGGCTGGCACAGCCCCTCAGCCCCATGTGCTGTGGAGAGTCTCCATGAGGCACAATTCGTCCTGATTCTGTGTTAACGTCCAGCTCACAGGAGTGGCACATTCATTATTGTTAATGACGTCACTGAACACTCCAGAAGCTGTGGGCTGATACGGAGGATGGAGTCCAGTGCATGCTTTCAGGCGCCACAGTGAAGGGGTCTCCTTGTCCAGCCCCTTCCCCGCCCCGCCCCCAGCACCTCGGCCCCAGCCCGTCCCACTTACCTATTGGAGAAGCGTAGCCAGAACACGTCATACACGAACAAGCTCAGAGGCTTCACGGAGCGCAGCAGCACAACGTAGCGGATGTCGAACTTGACATTCCCCACGTCTTCTCGAAGGAACAGGACGGGGCTTTCGATGTACTTGGACACAACCTGGAGGACAGATGTGGACTTGCCAGTAGCTCCTACCTCACCTGGGCAGGACAGCGCACCTGGGGCCTCCTGTACCTTGAGCCCCATGACGGGGGGGGGGGGGGGGGGGCCGCGCGGGTGCGCGGCGGCGCACATCTCCTTCACCTAGGTCCACAGGACTCTGTCATCATGGCCAGCTGCAGCTGTCCCCTCCTGCATTTTCAAACTAGCTAAGGCATGGCAAGTTCTTTACGCTCACCCGTTTTATACTATTTTTTATATATTTTTTTTTTATATTTTTTTATATATTTTTTATATTTTTTTATATTTTATTTTTATTTGTGAGAGTGTTTATCTGCATGTATGTATGAGTACCACATGCATGCAGCATCCAGAGGCCAGAAGAGAGTGCTGGATGTCCTGAACTGGTGTTACAGACAGCTGTGTGCCACTATGTGGGTTCTGTGGACAGATTCTGGGTCTTTCGCAAGAGCAGCAGGTGTTCTTAACCATTAATCCATCTCTCTAATCCCTACCTTTCTATTTAAAGAAAGAAACATCCCATCAAGTTTCAGCACTTGTGTGTGCATGCATGTGTGCAGGCTAGAGCCCAACCGTGGCTACCACACTTGGGGGTTATCCATATCGATTTTTTTTAAAGACAGGGTCTCTTACTGGCCTGGAGTATGACAAGCAGGCTCGACTGACCATGCTTGGCTCTTTTTGACACCCCTGCTCCCTTCATGGACTCTATGGACTGAACTTGGGTTCTCATGCTTGTGAAGCAAGCACTTTCTTTTCTTTTCTTTTCTTTTTCCGAGACAGGGTTTCTCTGTGTAGTTTTGGTGCCTGTCCTGGATCTCACTCTGTAGACCAGGCTGGCCTCGAACTCACAGAGCTCTGCCTGGCTCTGCTGGGATTAAAGGTTTGTGCCATCACCACCTGGCTTTTTTAAAAATAATTTTTACTTCATGTGCATTCGTATTTTGCCTGCATGCATGTCTGTGTGAAGGTGTCGTATCTCCTTGCAACTGGGGTTACAGGCAGCTATGAGCCACCATGTGGTTGCTGGAAATTGAACCTGGGTCTTTCTGGAAGAGCAGCCAGTGCTCTTGACCACTGAGCCATCTCTCCAGCCCCTGCAAGCACTTTCTTTACTACTGAGCCATCTCCCTAGCCCTGCTTCCAGGTTATAAAAGGAGGAACTCTCCCCAGTCATTCCATTCACTCCACCTGCTGTCTCAAGTCTCCACAATGACTGACAGTCCTCCAAGTTCATTTCCTCCCACCACTGTAGCCATGGCCCAGGAAAGCCTTGTGTCTGAGGCAGCTCTCCCACACAGCCACTGGAGGGCCCTCCCTACAAGATCACTACCATAGACCCAGGGGCTCCATGGGTGATCAGGCCATGTACTCCGTGGTGCGTGCTGATCACCACAAGCTGAGTGACCCTGAGCCACAGGGGACTCTCCCACCCTCGGGCCTAGCCGAAGGTCCTGAGGCCCTCTTCTCTTTGGTGTTTTTGCCTGTGCTTGGAGCACCTGGGTGAGGGGAGCTATAAGCCCACCTTGGGGGTGCTTTCTCGGTGCCGAATGATGCTGTGGAGGTTGTTGGTGACGTGCGTGTCCAGGCTGCGGGCCAGGTTCCAGGGCTTACAGATCCAGTGGTTGTCTTCACCCCTGGGGAAGACATAGTTGAGCCATACCAGCCTTTTAGACAATGTGTCCAAGGATCTGGAGGCAGACTGGCTTGCTAATGTCTGTTAGAAACCCAGTGCCGCAAAGGCACTGAGGTAATCAGGAGGAGTTTGCTGAAGCTAAGAAACGGTATAGGGTGTAGGGCAGCTGCATTCCCCACCCCTACCCACACAGAAGCAACCAGAGAGCCAGCAGGTGCTCAGCTAAGGAGCAGCTGGGCACGGGATACGGATGGGGCAGAGCTGCAGCATTATAACAGAAGCGTCCAGGAGTGTCCGCCCTGCCTTGAGCCTAGGGGACTTACTGTCTCTCCCGGTGCTGAAAATAGCTGATGAACTGGGGCAGCTCAGTGCGCAGGTTGAAGGTTCGGGGCAGCCAGCGGGGACCTTCAGGACCCCCGGCCCGGCGAGCGATGGAGGCCAGGCAGTCCTTTACGGTCAGCAGGTTCTCGCAGGGGAACTGGTTTAGTAGCACCTGTGGCCGCTCCTGACTGAGCGTCCTGTGAATGGAGGTGGGTACGGCCCACTCAGAGGTCAGCTTAGCGTCCCCGAGAGGGGTGTGGGGACTTTAGAGGAAAAGCTTGTGGTCCTGGGGACAGCGGCAGGCAGTCAGAGGCACTGGGTATGAGGTCCTGCAGGCCGCAAGGTACCCACCCACCTGTAGTCCTTGAAGTGTGAGAAGTGGTAGAGGATGTCGGCGTCAGCCTCGCTTTCAGTAAAGGCGAAACGTGGGTGGGTGAGGTGGCAAAGCACCTGCTGCATGTCCGAGTGGACCCTGTGGAGAGACCTGAGTGAGCAGCGGCCCAACGGCGGACAGGAGCTCCTGCTCACCCTGGCTCTGTGGCAGCAAGTCCCAGGGAATTCCTGGCGTCGGCAGCCTGGGCTAGACCCATTTCCTCTGCCTGGCTGTAGAGAGACAGGTTCTCCATAGAAGATGAGAGCACAGAGCTTGCCTCACATCAGGGTAACAGGATGGCTTAGGTGGTCCGTAGATGCTGGTTTCTTAGGTATCGGGCAGGCTAGCATAGGGAGAGCTTAGCATCCTGGGGCTCCGCTTGGCTTGGGCTACACTCCCCCAAAAGCAAATTTCTCCTCCCCATAATGACACCAAACTTGCACAGTTTCTATTCAAAAATACATCCCGAGAGGAGGGTCATTTTGGCCTGAACAGGCTTAGGATACATGGGCAATGAGCTGAAACTGTCCTCAACTTTTAGGGAGACTCTTATTTACTGCTGTATGCCCATAAGTAATTAGCAACATGTAAATCAAGGTTGGGTGCATTATAGGAATAAACACGCACAGTGAGTCAAGAGTAATCTATGCCTCTCAGTCAAAATGGAGAAGCCGGGCGGGTGATGGCGCACGCCTTTAATCCCAGCATTCAGGAGGCAGAGCCAGGTGGATCTCTAAGTTCAAGGCCAGCCTGGTCTATAGCTTGAGTTCCAAGCCAGCCAGGTGCACACAGAAAAACCCTGTCTTGAAACCAAAAGAACAAACAAAGCAAAAAAGGGGGAACCACCCAAAGTTATACCCCCAGAAACTAACCTCCTCTTGAACCTCAGACAAGGAAACCCCAAACAGAAACCGGGACCCTGGAGCGCCTTCAGTCTGTGGCCCACTCCCCCAGTCTCAACAGCGTGTTCCTTTCTAAGCTCTACTATCACTTCATTGGAAATAAAAGTTTCCCTGCTACTCTCTCATTCGTGTACTTTCCGGCTTACATTTATTTATCTGTGCATGTTTGTGCGGGTGGAGAGGTCAGAAGACCACCTGCGGCAGGGAGCTGGTTCTCAGGAATTGACTTTGGGCCACCAGGCCTGGCGGCAGGTGCCTTTCCTGGCCAAGCCATCTTGCTGGCCCTTTTACTTCACTCTTGAATAAGAAGAGACTAAAAACCTGGAAACACCTCAATGGCTGCCATTAGGGAGACACTATTAACCTCCCCATCCCCCTTGATCTCAGCCCACGAAGACAGAGCTGGCGTCCCCAGAGGGCTCTCCTGAATCTGCAGGCCTCCGGTGGGTGTGTTGTCAAGACAAGTGTCCCGGGACAGGTCCTATGTCACGATTCAAACCCAGCACAGGAGTGAGGACGGGGCCCGGAGGTGGCTGTATTTCCGAAGGAACAGAGTGTGAAGGCAAAGAGGACACAGGACATAAGGGAGAAGCAGGCGGCAGCTGGGGGAGGATACTCAGCGGGAGGGCTCAAAGTGAGGCGCGGGCCTGCTGGGAAGGGCTGGCATCAGGCAGGTAACCCGCCTGAGTCAGGAGTGCCAGTGTGAACCATGGCTGCAAGCAGGACGCTGGCTGGGTTCCCATCTAGTCCACCGCAGAGGGAATAGAGTGTGGTGGGAATGGGGTTCACAGCCAGATCTGTGTCTCAGGATACCCCCTTTGCTTCGGCTAGGGCTCTCTCTGGCTTCAGGTAAGAAGGGGAAGAACCCAGTAGAGGGAGGCCATCCCTAGGAAGTGGCAGAACTTGACAGAGTGGAGCACACGGCCCTATTCTAGCTGAACCAAGCTTAGGCAGTCATGGATATGGCATCTAGAGGCCTGGAGAGAGGGCTCCTGGGAAGGCAGAGGCCCTGCCCGGCACTAGGTGGGTGCGGCTCTGTACCCAGGCCCTGGGGCATGAAGTACAGCCATGTCTTTTCCCCGTCACTGCCCATACCCTCAGACTCCTTGGACAGGATCTCCTGGAAATACGGGTGTCTTTTTCCTTTTTTTTTTTTTTTTGGTTGTTATTTGAGACAGGGTTTCTCTGTGTGGTCCCGGCTGTCCTGGAACTCACTCTGTAGACCAGGCTGTCCTTGAACTCAGAGACCTGCCAAGTGCAGGGATCAAAGGCGTGCACCACCACTGTCCGGCAACTTTTTTCCTTTTTTGAGATAGGGTCTCACTGTAGCCCAGGATGGCCAAGAACTTGTGGTAATCCTCCTGTCTCTGTCTCTCATGTTGAGATTATGGGAATGCGCCACTGGGCCCGGCTGTTTCTAAATTTCCAGGGTAAGTTCAACAGCTGCCTCCTCCAGGCAGCCCCGCCCACCCTCTCGCTTTCCTCTGTGGTTCTGAGAACCCTGGACCTGGTACCATCGCCAACATTCCTGGATTCCAAGGCCTGTCTGGGCCACTGACTTGCTCTGGGACCTGGGAACGGCAGTGATTTAAGTTAAGTCTCGGTGAGAGCGGAGAACAAGGGCTCGGTACCTGAAGATGTGGCCCTGGGGACGTGCCACCGGGCTAATGGCGAGGGGCAGCTTCTCCTTGTTTTCCTCCAGGATGGCCTAGAATCAGAGGTAGAGACAGACCTCAGTGAAGGGAGCAAATGACCTCAAGCTTCCCCAATCCCACGGGTCAGACCCATACCCTGCTTCACATCCTTAACTCTTAGTGGCCTCTCAGGGCTACCTGATCTGAGGCTCTGGACTCAGGCCTCCCAGGTCCCCAAGAGTCCAGGCTGGGCAAAGAACACACACACTGTTCTCAGTCTCCACGGTGCGTTCCAGACGCGGGTGGCAAGAGGTGCTGGAACTGTGCAGGGAGGGGCCTCTCGGCTTGAGAGGAGTCCCCAGGGCTGTTCCCGGACGAGGCTGGCTAACTAACAATTTAAAACACACCCAGACTCTGACCCTCCCTTGAAAGGCAGAGCGCAGTCCATCCCAGGACCCAAGGAACTACTTGGAATGAGCAGCAGGGACGAGGTGAAGTATTGCTTCTGAGCCCAGATCACAGGCTCCTCAACTCTCTCCTTCTTGCTCCTGGATCACTCGCTTGAAGAGAAGTCAGCTGCCATGCCTCTGGGACACTCAGGAGCCCACAGAAAGGCACTTGGGTGGAGAGACCCATGTCGACACCGGCGACAGCCAGCTTGACTCATCAGGCCCGAGTCCTCCATACAAATGTCTCAGCTCCAGGGAGGCTCAGACTCTTCAGCTTTGGGGGACAGTCTGCGTGCCCAGAAAACCCCGGACCAAAAGCACTTGTGAGCACTGTATCTAGTTCCTGGCCCCCCAGAAACTGTGGGAGGCAATAAGTATCTGCTGTCCTAAGCTGCTGGAGTCCTTTGTCACCAGCACAGGCCACCCCTGGGCCAGATCGAAGCCTGGGCCCTGGTCCTAAGCAACAAGGTTTCAGGTAAGGAGTGTCTGGCCTCCTAGCTCTCTTCTCCTCCTGCAGCAGTTTCCCAAGGGGGTGCCAATTCTTCATGGTCCACTGATAGACAGTTGGAGGCCAGTGGGACCTTCCCTAGCCATCCTCAAACCTCACTTAGAGCACCCAATTCCATGTTCACCAAACCCTGACTGGATACGGCACTCAGGAGGCTAGGGGCCCAGCTCTGAACCCCCAGCACCCTTCTGTCTGCTGGATTCAGCAAGGTGCCAGAAGACCATGACTGTGGTCTGCCCCTGGCAGTCAGCAACTCACACAGCTTCCATTACAGCCTGGGTTAATGTGCTTACTCCTTCTACAACCTTCAGAGCACTCAGCGGTATCAGGTGTCTGCGTGCCAGAGTAGATTCCAAAACGGTAGAGCAAGGTTTTTGGCCTCTACTGGTCCCTGTGGTTCCTTGACCTTGGACTCTAATTCTTCACACCCCAGTGTGTTTATCATCAACAGAATGTTGGTGAACACTAGGCACAGGCTCCTGTGTGTACAGATTTGGGGACAAGGGAGAAGATGCTTGCATCCCCCTTAAAGATTTTTTTATTTTATTTTATGTGCATTGAGTGTTTACCTGCATGTACATTTGTGCATCATGTGTGTGCAGTGCCCATAGAAGCCAGAAGAGGGTGCTGGAATCCACGGAACTTGAATTATAAACGGTTGTGAAGCTACCTGACCTGGGTGCTAGGCACCAAACACAGGTCCCTCCCCCCTGCAGTAGCGGCCCGTGCTTTTTACCACTGAGCTATCTGTCCAGCCACTAGGGGCTGTGCTACTGATTGCTATTGGGCCTCTCAGCAGAGCCAGGCATTTCCGAGCGAATCCACAGGGTCCTGACCTGCAGGCTGTCCCGTAACAGCAAGGACCCCTTGAGGGTCTGCTGTCTTGTGAAATGTACTACAGTGCAGTTGGGCCCTCTGAACCTATGGGCTCCATGACTTCATATTCAACCAACAGGAGGTCAAAAAGGCTTTGGGGGGAAGAAGTCCTCGGTTGAGAATGTGTGCAGACGTCTTTCTGTGCCGTCATCCCCAAACCACACGACTGTCTCCCGAGAACGACAAACAATCCAGAGAAGACAAGGGACCCTGGAGGCAGGGCTGGCCGTTCCACGTGACAAGCCGGAGTCCCCACAGATTTTAGTACCCGTGTGGTCCTGCAACCCATCCCCGTGGACACCAAGGAACAACTAGTGTCTTCCTGTACCCTGTGAGGGAGCACCTCGAGAAGAGGAGGGGCAGGGTAGCGGGTACAGCCACACCTAGATGCCTAGGCCACCCTTTCCCGAACCCAGGCGACCTGGGATCTAGATCAGGACAGGTGACAAACTGTGGCTCAGGCAGCTGGCGAACATTAAGCCCCATATCTCTCAGGTGTTCGCCAAATGATTCCCTCATCCCACAGTCGCTGGTTTGGAGCCTGGAATCCAGCTGACATTAACATTCGATGAATGGACAGAGAACATTCCAGAAACCACTCAACACTAGGCCCAGGGTTGCAGGCGCAGGGCCACACCTGATAGTACTTGGCAGGAGGCTCAGGCGTGGAGGAGCTGAGGTCCAGCATGTCGGCAGGGGCCCAGGGCAGCAGCATGCATTTCCGGATCAGAGGGTCTGCCTCTCCGTAGGCAAAGTCCCGGGTCACCTCCTCTGCGCCAAGACACGCATGCCCATCAGTGGGGGTGGCAGGAGACCCGCCCAAGGTCCATCCTCTGGGGTGTGCGGGCACCTGACTTACCGCCTGTGTCTAGGTCCCTTAGGGGCCACAGCAGTGTGTAGGCCACCTGCTGCGGCATGTAGAAGAACGGAGCAGTGGCGAAGCTCGGCATGTCTGCATGCTGGATCCTGGAGCCGAACTCATCCATGATGTACCACACGGGCACTTTCTCTTCGGCTGTCTGTGGGCAGGATACAACAATCCTCGGCCACACGTCCACCCACCTGCTGTCTCCCCGACCTGTGTACCCAACATCGACCACTGTTCATCTCTGCTTACTTCTGAGCTTGGAGGTTTCCCCAACCCCATTAACTGGCCCAGGCCTGTGGAAATAAGGCACTAGGTTCAGTAATGGCAGGGACGAGTCCCATGTGCTATCCTGGGCTAGGGAGGGACAAGGAGCTAGACCTTAGTAAACAAACATGGTTTTCCCCAAGCTGAGAGTGGGGAGGGGCTTGAGCCAGGAGGATGAGCCTGAAGGTGTGTCAAAGGGTGGCCGAGAGCCATGGAGGGTAGCATGTTTGGAAGGGGCAGCTGAGTCACTGGAGCTCAGTTTTAGAGGTCTGAGAGAGAGAGGCCTGTGTCCCTTAAGTGCAAAGGCAGAATAGGTACCTTGGTCCCCAGCCTTGATTGGTCCCAGGTACCAAGATAAGGTCTTGCATGTAGCCCTGGTTGGTCTAAAATTAGCTAGACCACTGGGTGGTGGTGGCACATATCTTTAATCCCACCATTCAGGAGGCAGAGGCAGGTGGATCTCTGTGAGTTCGAGGCCAGCCTGTCCTACAGAGTGAGACCTAGGACAGGCTCCAAAGCTACACAAAGAAGCCCATCTCGAAAAACCGAAAAAAAAAAAAAAAAAAATAGGTTAAACCAGGCTGGCCTTGAACTCACAGAGATCCATCTGCCCCCCCCCCCCCCCCCCCCCCCCCCCCCCGTGTTGGGAGTAAAGGGGTGTACCTCCATGCCTGGCTGTCACCCGATTGTTTCGCTTTGTTTTATTATTGGTAACATACTCCTGGTAAAGGCACAGAGGCCAGTCCTGGGAGAAAGGGACTTGACTCACCCCGTGGGCCAGCTGGTAGGTCTGGTTGAACTTCCACATCTCCTCCAGCACCAGGGCCACAACTTCTGGGCTGGGCACCTCACCGTGGAACTCGATGCCCATCAGGTTAGCCATACGGTGCAAGAGTCCAGGTACCTGCTGCAGCTGTTTACGAGCATGCTCCACACGACATGTCCAGGCATGGTCAATGAGGAAGATGCTGCCGGTACAAGCCACACACGAACCGCTAAGCCAATGGCTCTCAACCTTCCTAACGCTGCGACCCTTTAATACAGTTCTTCATGCTGTGGTGACCCCAACCATAAAGTTATTTTCATTGCTACTTCATAACTGTAATCTGAACTGTAACGAAAATTTCTGGGTTTTCCAACGGTCTTGGGTGACCCCTCTGAAAGGGTCATTCAACCCCCAAAGGGGTTGTGACCCACAGGCTGAGAATTACTTCACTAAGCAGGACAGGAAGGAAAAAGGAGCAGGAAGCAGAAGGTAGAGCAGGGCCAGGTTCTGATGCCCAGACCTTCTGAGACTTGCTGGCCACAGCCCAGTGCCTCAGCCCAAAGCCACTGCTCTGCCACCCACTCAGTGTGGTTCTGAGAAGCGAGACCTCCTTCTCTAAACTCTGAAGGAGGACAGCGGGAGGTCCCCATTTCCAACCCCATGGACATGAGCATCACAGGGAACAAATGTGGTCAGGCTCTCTGCAACCACTCGGGTAAACGTCGGAGCCTGGCTGCAGGCACAGGGTGAGAGTTCATGCCCCCGCCCTGCTCGCTGCAGATCTAGCAGTGACAGACAGGCACTCAACACAAAGCAAAGGCTCTACACACCGGGACGGCAGCAGGCAAGTGGAAGGGCTGCAGCCCCGCACACCTGCATGCATGCATGCATGCATGTGTACCCCAGGACCTAAGGGCACCAAGAACTTCCTATGGGAGAGGCCTGTCTTTCTTTTTCTTTTTCAAGATAGGGTTTCTCTGTGTAGCCCTGGCCATCCTGGAATTTGCTCTGTAGACCAGGCTGGCCTCGAACTTACAGAGATCTGCCTGCCTCTGCCTCTCAAATGCTGGGATTAAAGGTGTGCGCTGCCGCCGCCGCCGCCGCCGCCGCCACCACCACCACCACCACCACCACCACCACCACCCAACCAGGCCTGTCTTTCTAACCCTGGCCCTAGCAAGCTTTGCTGGTTTAGGGGAATCCACACATACAGGTGCCCAATGAACAAGTCAGCCACTCGCTGGCCCCCTCCCCTGAGCACACAGTCCCTACAAAATGAAAGGAACAGTAATGTTCCAGGTCATGTTCAAGACCGAGTTCAGGAACGCATTACCGTGGCGTTCGTCTCCCAGTCTGTCTGCATATCCTCAAAGGCCGGTTTATTCCTGAACAATGCCGTGTGTGGTACAGAGCCATGCCTCAGAGGTGTGCACTCGGGGGTGACCATGAAGTGTGACAATAGTCATACCCGGGTAGGTACGGGGTACAGAGGACAGAGAACTTCTGGGGCCTGGCAAATACGGACTACTCGGAGGGATGAAGTCCTTAGAGCAGAGGAGACCGAAACAGACACTCGTGTTTTGTGAAGGCCAGAGCTGTCACCTTGACAGACACTAGAGTCACCTGGGAGACGGGCCTCTGGGCACGCCTGTGAGGCTGTCTTCATTATGTTAGCTGACATGGCAAGACACATCTTAATTGTGGGAGGGACCACTCCCTGGGCAGGGGATCCTGGACTTCATAAAATGGAGAAAGCCAGCTGAGTACCAACAATGCATGCACTGTCCTGTTTCTAGACGATAGATAGAACATGAAAGACCTCCACCTCTGTGCACACCCCGCCTCCTCCTCATGATGGACTGTATCTCACACTGTGAAGCAGAATAGACCCTTTCTCCCTCAGCTGACCTGGTTGGTGTAGTTTATCCCAGCAGCAGGAAAAGTTACTAAGACGGGTCCCACACGGTTTGTGGTGGTGGGGGTCCATCCCCAGCCCCTTCCCGGCGTGCCGAGGTGTGGGCCAGCACTGGGCTGCGTGAGGCTTGAGTTCCTGGGCAGTGCCAGACCTAAGTCACTAGTGCACAGATCTGAGTGCCAGGTGTGTGGGTGTGGGGGGGCCACTCTGCCATCAGTGGGGTGGGGTCCATGGCTCACTTGGGGGCTGGTGAAGGAGAAGACAAAAAAAGCTTGGTCCAAGACACCAGATGCCAAGGACACTCAGGGAGTTCCTGCCTTAAGGTTCTGACAAAGCTTCTGGTAGAGGTCCACAGGCCCACCCCGGTGGGTTCCCTGGGAGACGGGAAGTCTTGAGTCTAGATGTGGCTCTGGGCAACACCAGGCTTGGCCTAGGCCTTTCTGCTTTCTGGGAACGTTCCCAGGGTTGAGACAGCAAGCTTCAGGGGGAGGGGACCAGGGCCCTCAGCAAAGCCAGGCTCAGTTAGGTTTAGCTGGGTTCAGCAGCCACATCCTTAACTAACTGGACAACCTCATGCAAGTCCTCTCCCTGGGTTTGCCTGCCCTTAGCAAAAGCAAGAGCCAGAGCACCTTGTGGTGAGGTTACAAGGATGTACTTTCTGGGGCGTCAAGCACGCACGATTCCTGGTAGACTGTCAACAGCACAGGTTCAGACACGACCCCCAAAGCCCGTGGGACACCACTGGCCACACATGCCACAGGGGAAAAGAGTCTAGGTGGAATCTCTCTAAAACCACGTCCAAAACGTTAAAAAAAAAAACAAAAAAAAAACAAACAAAAAAAAAACCCAATGCCCAGACTCGGGTCCTACCTGTTGGGGTCATCAGCCCGGACTCCGTTTTCACTGGTCACGATGACCTTGTAGCACAGCTCACTCCCAGGGTTGGGCTGCTTCCTCTGAGCCTCCCTGGCAGCCTCGTCCTCAGCCTCTTCCACCTCCTCCACTTGCATTATCCCAAACACGTCCCCAGCATCAAAAACCTAGGGCCAGAGCACAATGAATCAGGGGGGTGGGTAGGAGACCCCACCCTTGACCCCTTCACCTCCAAGGAGCAAGCCCTGTTTAGCATACATCCTCTTAGCAGCATCTTAACAGAAGAACTGAGACCTCCCAGGGAAGTAGTCTCTGCCACACTCCCGTGCTACCATCCACAGGCCAGGACACTTTGGAAAAGGCACAAAGTATCCACAGCAGAATTTTCTTAGTGTACACCCCTTGCTTTACAGGGGAAACGAGGCCCTAGAGGCAGAGGGTGGCGCTGGAATGCTGGAGGCAGAGGGGGGATCAGGATGGTGGTTGGCAGGGGGCACCCTGACTTCGCTCTCACCAGAGCTATTCTGATACCAGGACAGCCGAGGCAGCCCACAGGCACCTCCCATACCAGCGCAGCAGGAAGCGTGGCCTGAGGGGTGCTGTGGGTACTCTCGGGGCAGAGAGGGGACTGTGAGGTGTGGGCTTGGATTTCCCAGGCCAAGAAGAATTGGGAGTCAAGGACAGCTGGAGAAGCGACAAGCAGGCCTCTTCTCCCACGCTCCCTCCCAGTTCCCACCTCAGGCCTGTGGTAAGCCAGCAAGTGGGGGAGGGGGTGGGGGTTGGACCTTTGGAATTGGAGGCCTACTTGGGAGGTCTGAACCTTGGCTTTGCCACATATTATGTGATCTCAGGGAAAAGTTAACTCAACCCCTCTGTGACTCAATTTCCCCATCTGTACGGTGGGAAGGTCTGGGTTTGTTGGGATGTTTTAATTACTAACAAAGCAAGGCACAGAATGGGGCCTGGGCTATGGCAAAGGCTCTTACAAGCCAGGCCCCACAATTACACTTGAGACTCAGTTTCCCCACTTGGGGGGGGGACACCCGCCGAGAATCAGATGAAAGGGGACTTAACAGGCGAGTTCTTCCCTCAAACCTCCGCCACTCAGAGCACGACCTACTCAGGCACAGACAAGCTTTTTAGGCCAAAAGACACGGGTTGGGGCCACGCGGGCTGGACTCTTTCAACTCACCGGGAGCTGGGAAGCTATGGGAGGGCGCGCTGGGGGAAAGATTCAGGCCTGCAGTTCTAGGGTGCTGAGGGAAGTAACCACAGGCTGGGAAGGGAAAGAAAGGAATGGGGTTGGGGGTGGGGTGGGGCATCACTGCTGAGATGTCTCATGGGGTAAAGGCGATGGTGACCACGCTTGATGATCTGAGTTTGGTCACAGATTTCTCAAGGTGGAACCAAGTTCTGAAAGTTGTCCTCTGACCTCCATGTCTGCATGTCTGCACACACACAGGCACACAGGCAGGCACACACACATACAACACACACACACTAAATTAATGCACATAAAAGTGTGTGTGGGGGAGCAGGAAGGTTACCATACTCCAGAGTGGAGTCTGGCAGGCCAACAGGAAGATAAGGGAAGCCCTTAGGTGGAGAAGAGCAGAGTCTCAGCTAATCCTCTTTGGATCCCTGAAGCAGCCCTGGGTTGGGGGGAGGCTCGCCCTCATTTAAGACTGGGGGGGGGGGGCTGGAACCCACAACTCAGGGATCATCGGTCCTCCAACCCCCAGCCTTTCACCCCAGACTTTCTACCCTGAAGCCTGGCCTGGCTTTTCCTCGGCTGGGGTACAGGGGGACTACTCCTGCCCTCTTGAGCTGTAACCCCTTGGGAGGCAACAGCAGTAGATGTTCCTCCAAGTGGGAGGGTGGGTGTTTTTTAAAAACACCCCCTATCTTTTCTGTGGAGCTGATCAAGGTAAGGAAGCGGGGCTGAACGCCCGGTGGGGGAGGGTGGCTTTTGGCAGGCAGGTACACAGTCCTGCTGAGCACTCCCTCTGGGCCTGGTGGCCGGTCTACGGTGGTGGTGACTCAGCTTTGTCTGGAATGGCTCAGTAGGGCCTGGGGGGGAAAAACGATGGCTGTCCCTGACTAGGCCACAGCAGCCTAAGTGAGAAGGGACAGGACGCATACTGGAGCTCATTTCCCCCCAGGGAGCCAGGTGCTTGGGTGCCTCCACCCCTGCTTTCCAAATGAGACACGGCTTAGGTGGGGAGCCACCTGTCCATGTGAGAGTGCCCTGGAAGGCTGGCTGAGTTGGACCCCAGGGCATTCCAAAAAAAAAAAAAAAAAAACTGTCCTTTCAGGCAGCATCATGGGCACCTTTTTATCCTCACTAACAGATGGAGATCCGGGTTCTACCTCAGCATTGGCCTGGGATTAAGGCAAGTCTGCAGAAAGTGGCCGAACAGGGGAGGAGGGCCCACCACATGAGCAGAGGGAACCCAGTTCTATGAAGTACCATTCTGTAAGAAGGGGGTACCTCTGACAGTGAGCCTCGATCTATGATGTGGTAGTGCCTGAACACCAACACTGACAGTGGAAAACGCATTTAATACCCCTGCGGTGGGGGCTGACTGGGAGCTGCAACCTCAGGACACTGCCCAGGACCATTTACACGGTATCACGCTAGCCCGTTGAATGCGCCCTCTGCACTTCCCTTCCCAACCCATAGGCTAGGGATGGAGCGCTCTCCCCAAGACTAGGTAAGCACTCTGCTCAGTGAGCTGCACCACAGCCCTATGTGCAGGCTTTAAGCAGGAGATATCTGGCTCATATATAGTGTGGAACGGGACCAAAATCGGCCCCATAGTTAAGGCTCAGGGGACGCCTAGTTCTTGGCCTCTCCTGGTCACCTGCAGCCTTAGTGGGTCTCTGCTGGGAGGCGGTGTCCTGAAGTTAAGCCAAGCTCTAGCTTCGGAAAAGGCGCTCTGCTCAGCCCAGCAGCTGCTCTGTCTTTTAACATTCAAACCTACAGCCCAGTTTTCAGGCCTCAGAGGCCGCACACCCCTAGCTCAGGTGAAAGATGGAGCCATCCCTCAAGGATGGGCAACACCTTTCACCCTCTCTTAGCGTCTTCTCCATCTCCTCGGGCTTACATTCTCCCTAGTCTACAAAGGGTGTGACCGGCGACTCATGCCGTGGGAAGCAACTCGTGTTCTTTACTCCGCGGTGGAGGTGCTAGGATGCCGAGCCAAGCGCATGTCATTTGCAGGTCCCAGCTCATCCCTGGCAGGGCCCAGGTCCTGCAGGATGGCGGCACAGGCGCAGCTCTCGGCCGGTCCCCTACGACTCCCAGATACATCCCACTCCTGAGCCTGTAAGCGGCTCGCTCCCCTTTGGAGCCGCTGGGCTGCGCTCCCCACTCGTCCGCATAGCCCGCTCGCAGCTCGCGCCGCCCCGTACCTCGTTCTCCAACTTGTGCAGGAGGCGGCCCCACAGGCGCTCCGGGACGCCCGAGGCGCGCAGCGCGGGGCCGTGCAGCGACACGAACTCGTCCAGCATCCGCTCGCTCAGCCTCTCGGCGCGGCCTGGGCTACCGCGCGGCTGCCCCGGCTCGCCCTCCATGGTGCTCGGATGTGCACGGCACCGCCCACCGCCGGATTTAAGCCTACGGTGCGCACGCGCCTGCGTCCCGGGCTGGGAGGTCCCGAGTGTGCGCAGGCGCGCTGGGGGTGTGTCTTCCCTCCATTCATCCCGGGACCGCCGCGGGGGATGCTGGGAGTGCTGCTTAGAGCGCCCCACGTGGTCAGAACCGGAAGAGTTTGTCCTCGAGGGGCAGGTGAGGCTGGGGTTCGAGGAGGAGGTCAGACGGTCCTCCTCGCACTGGTTACAATTTTCTTTTGCTCGAGTTTTGTTGTTGTTGCTTTTAATTTTAGTTTAAAAAATTATTTAAAATTTTTTTTTATGTATATGAGTGCTTCCTCGCATGCACGTGTGTACACATCTCGTGGAGGCCGGAAAAGGGTGTCAGGTCCCTTAGAACTGGAATTACACATGGAGTGTCGGGTCTCCTGCAAGAGCAGTTAACTACCAAGCCATTTTTCCAGCTTTGTTTTATTTTTATTTTGGGGTGCGTGCGCGTGCGAGAGAGAGAGAGAGAGAGAGAGAGAGAGAGAGAGAGAGAGAGAGAGAGAGAGAGAGAGACGCCTTGTGGAGATCAAAGAACAAACCATTCTGAAGTCTGTTCTCTTTCCACTTTTATGTGGGTCCCCAGGGGTCGACCTCAAGTCATCAAGATTGCGTGGCAAGTGCTTTTTACCACTGAGCCATCTCCCGGGTCTTGGTTATCATCACCATCATTATCACCATTTTGCCACAGGGGCTCATGCAGCCTGGACTGACCAACAAACTCACTTTGTCCTGGAGGCTTGCCTTGAACCTTTGATCTCCCTGCCTCCACCTCCCAAGCATTGGGAGACACCACCATGTAGGGATCCTTAGCCATATCTTGAAGGTTTACAGACCTTTCCAGGGGTAGGGGGAAATCTTCTCGATCTTTTGGAATTCAGCTTCCCTGAATTCAGAGGCTGCAATATCTTGGTATGATAACTGGGTGTGCCATCAAAAGAGTTACTCCACAAGTGCAGAGGTTCACAAATACAATTAAGGGGCCACCACACCCACCCAGCTCCCCAGCTCTGAGGGAAGTAGAGACAGGAGATCACCGGGGCTTTCTGCTTCTAATCTAGCCGAGAAAATGGGAGCTCTGTGTCCAGAGAAAGACTTCCTCAAGGAGTAAGCAGAGAATGGCAGTTGGGGATACTCAGTTCCTTCTTTCGGCCTCTGTGTGCACATAGGCACCCCTCCCACACTGTCTGTGTACACAGACTCATATTCACATGCCCCCCCAACAACCAATCAAAAACATCCACCAACCAACTTACACCCCCAACAACCAATCAACCAGTTGACTCCATGGAGAGGAAGAACAAGAAAAGGCGACTGAGCCCATTGCTGGCTGGAGGGGTAAGACCGAGCTCTGGAACGGTAGACTTGGTTTGTCCTGTCCTCCCACCCCCATATAATTTGCTGGATGGAGATAAGATACAAGGCAGCTTCAATAGATTTATTTTATGTGTATGAGTGTTTTGATGCATGCATGCATGGTGTACCCTGTGTGTGTGCCTGGTGCCCGTGATGTAACAGGCCCTCAGACCTCAGCACAGCTAACACCCTGTTAGAGGCAGGGATCAAAGACCTAATCCATTAAAGACCTGACCCATAGTTCCAGGATCCAGGAAAGTCCCTGAATATCCTAACCTTGCTTTCTGGTTTCTGTACTTCTGCCTCTTACTGACTGAAGTGTGTTGACCGGGATGTGGTTTTTGTGCATAAAAGAGACAAAGAACTGTGTGAGATTGGGCCTGCATGATTTGGGCAAGTTCCCTGTGCAGCTGCCAGTCAGCAATACAGACTTTCCATTGAACTTGAAGAGTGTCTGTGTGGGGCTGGAGAGATGGCTCAGAGGTTAAGAACACTGGCTGCTCTTCTAGAGAACCCTGGTTCAATTCCCAGCACCCACATGGCAGCTCACAACAGTCTGTAACTCTAGTTCCAGGGGATAAGGTACCCTCACACAGACATACATGTAGGCAAAACATCAATGCATATAAAAATATAAAATATAAAAAATAAAAAGGGATCTTTAAAAAAAAAGTGTCTGTGTATGTTCTCTGGTGGAATTACCTCACAACAGTGGAGGCCAGAAGGAGGTGTAGGATTCCCTGGAGTTATGGGTGTTTATGAACCATGATCTGGGTGCTGGGAACTGAACCCCTGTCCTCTGTGAGAGCAGCCAGTACCCTTAACCACTGAGCCACCTCTCCAGCCCCATTTAACCTCCAAGGCTCCTCTGGTCCCTAGACAACTGCCTTCTTGGATTTCTGACTCTGTGAATAAAGCACAATTTAGAAGATTCGATCCCTGTCCCTGGTGATTGGCTTCTGAGTGGCAGGTATCACTAACTCTGGTACTCCAGTTATATAGCCTACTGTTGGCTGTCTGCAGCCCTCCCCCCCTCCAACCGGGGGTGGGTGGACTGGGAAACATCCGTCACTTCTTCCTGGCTCCTGGTGAACCCTCCCTCAATTTTACCTAGCAAATTGAATCACTTTGCTTAAGGCTTGATTCTGGCTTAAGGTCTGTTTGGATTTTTGTTTTTGTTTTTGTTTTGTTGCCCCGTCAGTGGCTGTCTTGGGACTCATTCTGTAGACTAGATTAGCATGGAACTCAGAGATCCATCCACTCGCCTCTGACTCCTGAGTGTTGAGATTAAAATCATGAGCTGCTACACCAGGCTGGACTATGGTTTTTAAATGCTTTCTGTTCTAGTCTGTTCTCATTCCCATGTTATGGTGTTGTGGGGTATCCACCAGAGAAGACTACTCAGACACAGGTTTAAGTCCATAGAAAGTCTTTATTAGGTCGCCCGTGCCTTCAGTGGATGTTCAGGATTACAGTATAATCCTTTCTCAGTGTGAGCTTTTAAGCACAAAAACCGTATCCTGGGTTGACATATATCAGTTAGCAAGAATAGTTAGCCAGAGGCAGGCGGTAGTGGTGCACGCTTTTTATCCCAGCACTCAGGAGGCAGAGACAGGTGGAGAGTTCGAGGCCAGCCTGGTCTACAGAGCAAGTTCCAGGACAGCCAAGAGCTGTTATACAGAGAAACCCTGTCTTGAAAAACAAACAAAAAAGAATAGTTAGACAGAAGCAACTCTCCCAGAGTTATGGACTTGGATGGATTAGGTCTTTGCTTTCGTTTTGGCGGGTGGTGGCTGCCTACGTGCTGAGGTTTATGGCCTAAATGGTACTTCCACCATGGCGTCAGTTGTGCTAAGGTCTGGGGGCCTGCTACAAGGCTTGACTGGCCTCTGATTTAAAAGTTCCTTTCTGTTCTGTCCTGTCAGCTCTCTAAGAGAGGAGGTGCCGCCCCATCCCTGGGAACAGTCCCTATGGCCATGTTTTGGCAAATGTGTCTAACTGTCCTTGTATCTCTATGAACAAAAAGTAGCCCCTTACTCACTCTCCACTCTTGAGGGAGGCAATGCCTTTTGTAACGTATACATGTTTGTCTCTCTATTTTTTTCTCCCGTCTGCTTTCTTGCTTTGTACAAGACGGTTTGCTGTCCAAGGTCATTGGAAATTCTGTTACGTTGAACAGCCCTCACGGCTGTGTGACACTGAAACTCCCAGAAATTTGTGAGACAAAGAGTAGAATGTAAGAAAGATTCCTTTTAAGACTCCAAGCAACAATAATGTGTGCCTAAGATCTGCCACAGACAGGAAGCTTATTTAGCAAGCTCATTATGTTGTCAATGTGATTTGTGTTTAACTGACTCATAATCAATTGCTGGGTTTATTATGCGGCTATTATGAAGTATTATATATATAATAAAAGTTTATCTATGGTTGGCCAAAATGGAAAAGTAAAGGTGAGAACAAAATGAGGACCTAAGTGTGTCAGGTAAGGGCCAAGCAAAACCTCATTTAGTCTGGTTCTCAGTTACAATTGCAGACCGTGGATTCTTGACCCTGCTGCTTTGGGCCAGTGTTGGGAACTCACGTGAAGGATGTTGGGTAATAGCCTCAGGTCATGAGGAATTGAGTCATGCTATTTTAGGCTATAGCCCCTAGCCTTAAAGAATTGCTCTAGCCTGACCATTCTACTCCGCCTGCAGAAACAATATGCCCAGCTATCAAAAACAACCTACCTTCTCCCCGTCAAATGACAAAAATAGCTGTAGCTTCCTGGTAGCTACACACACACACACACACACACACACACACACACACACACACACACCCCTAGCCCCTTGAAATGCACTGTTAGGTCCCAAACCCCAAAAGGGACCTAACTAGAGAAGGGCTGCTGGCGGCATTCCTTAGGAAGCAGGTTTCTGCCTGCCCAAAGGGGCCGCCTCCATTATCTTCCCTGGCCTTTGACTCTCCATTGCCACGTATCTGTGGTTATAATATATCAAAGCCCAAGCTAACCTCCAAGGCTCCTCTGGTCCCTAGTAACATGTACCCCTTATAAATATCAACAGCTCCATGCTAGCCGCCCGACCCTCCTCATTTCCCCGCTGTGCCAGTTCCCAGGCTGTTCCAGCTTACAGCTCGCCCCCCAGCTACTCCCCTCTTTATAATGGCAGGGTCCATCCCCACCCCATTTTTTTTAACCTCCGCTCCTGAGAGAGATGCCAGTCCACTCCCTTCTCTGCCCTCCTTTCCCAGAGGTAGCCATGGCTACTCTGGACTCTTCCAGATGCCTCTGGCTGGTCTCTCCCATCTACAGTAAAAACCTACCCACGGAGCAGTCATTTCAGCGGCTTTACTTCAGCCTCACATGCTCAACCTTCATCTCTCAGAAGCTGGGACCCTTCACTGTTCCAGTCTCGCACTGCTGAGGTTGCGTCTGACTGCCCCTCGGCCTCACTCCTCTTCTTCTTCTTCTTCTTCTTCTTCTTCTTCTTCTTCTTCTTCTTCTTCTTCTTCTTCTTCTTCTTCTTCTTCTTCTTCTCCTTCTTTTTGGTTTTTTGAGACAGGGTTTCTCTGTGTAGCTTTGCGCCTCTCCTGGAACTCACTTGGTAGCCCAGGCTGGCTTCGAACTCACAGAGATCCACCTGGCTCTGCCTCCCAAGTGCTGGGATTAAAGGCGTGCGCCACCACCGCCCGGTGGCTTCACTCTTCTTAAAGAGGAGGCCCCTCATGGCCCCACACATCCTCCACCACTCTGCAAGCCCTTGCCCTATGCTCTCTCCAGACTCCTTGCCTCTCTGTCCCTCACCCCAGAGTCCTATTTTTTTTTTTTTCTTTTTCGAGACAGGGTTTCTCTGTGCAGCTTTGCACCTTTCCTGGATCTCGCTCTGTAGACCAGGCTGACCTCCAACTCAGAGAGATCCCCCTGCCTCTGCCTCCCGAGTGCTGGGATTAAAGGCGTGCACTGCCACCACCACCACCACCACCGCCTCTTCCTCCTCCACCACCACCTGGCTCCCCACTGGGCTTTGGCTGCAGACATTCATCCTGCGGCTCTCTAAGCAGGACCCTTGTCTGCCACTCCTGGGTCCTTCTCATCACTCTTCAGGCTCAGCTCGAAAGTCACCTCCTTATTGAGCCACTGAACATGTATTTAATCAATGTACAACTACCTGGTGTGGGGGTAAATAAAGGCTCTTGCATCATGAACATCAGAAACGTGGCTTCAGGCCCTGAAGGAGGCTTGAGTGCTGGGAGTGCCCCTGAGGGGTCACATAGGAAGTGAGCTGCTCAGGCATCACAGGGCCCAGTGCACAGGGATTCCACCCATACCCCATCCAGAGAGATAGCAGTCTGCAGGCAGGAGAACCCAGGGCCGGTCTCAGTACCAATCCTGCTGCTGTTTACCTTCTATACCCAGATAAAGAAATAATTATACTGTGTAGGATGTTCAACATTTTCATGCACTTAAATTTAAAAAAAAAAAAAATCCAGCTGAGAAGTGGTGGCACATGTCTTTAATCCCAGCACTCGGGAGGCAGAGGCAGGCAGATCTCTGCATTGGAGGCCAGCCTGGTCAACAGAGAGAGGACAGCCAGTGCTACACAGAGGAACACTGTCTGGGGAAAAAAATCCTCTTATCAGACAGGATTGTGTGTTTCATTGAATTAATATTGTTTGCTTTTGAGATTTGAAAAAGTTGTATTAGGGACTTTTGTTTTCCTGTTTTCTTTTCTTTCTTTCTTTTTGGCATGTGTTATGTGTATGGTGTGTGCATGTCCATGTGTGTATGGGTGCATATGCACTTTGACCCAGTGCTTGCTGATTTGGTCAGCCAGCTAGCTCCAGGGATCCCTGTGTATCCACCTCCTGAGCATTGGGATTACAGGCGGGGCTTCACTCAAGGTGGGCATTTATGTAGGTGATGGTGATCTGAACTCCGGCCTTTATTCCTGTCAGGCCGACCCTTTACCCACTGAGCCACCTCCCAGGCCCTTTTCTTTTTCTTTTTCTTTTTTTTTTTTTAAGACAGGCCCTGCTGCATTGCCCATTGTCACACTGCCTTCTGGATCTTTGTGTTTATCTCCATAGCTTTGTGTTGTTCTCAGCCACAGTCAAGAGCTGCTTTCTGCACTGGGCAGCAGTGGATGCAGACTCAGAGCTGTGAGCAGACTCAGTCCAAATGCTGAGGGCAAGTGACTGCTGAGTGCTCAGATGGGACATTTCTAGAACCTCCGCACCACCAAGGTTCAGGGGACACCCGAGGAAGTGAGGGTGGTGGTGGAAAGAATGGGAGAGCCAGAGGATGGGGGCGGGAAGGAGAGCTGTGAAATGATGCCTTCTGGGCGTGGCGTGGCTGTCGCACACACAGGCTCACAGCAGCTGTGGTTCCCCACACAAGATCAATCCAGTTCCAACTTCAACATGGATCGGGGAGAGGAACCAGAGGCTCTACCTTCCCTTAGCTGAGGAGCTACTGGCAGTTGGTGGCTGCTGGGGAGGCGAGAGCTGCTTTTCTTTAGGTATGGTCACTTGTGAGCTGCCCATGTCCCAAATGATGGTTCATACCCATGCACATATGGGTAGCACCAATTGGACTCAATGGGATACATACATACATACATACATACATACATACACGCATACATACATACATACATACACACACATACATACACACATACATACATACGGACATGAAGTTGAGAGGGAGATATGCTAGGTGGGGCAAAGGGGGACTTGAAGCTGGGAGGGGCATGGATATGATCAACATACATTATACACAGGTATAAAATATTCAAAGCATAAGCCAGGCAGTGGTGGCCCACACCTTTAATCCCAGCACTTGGGAGGCAGAGGCAGGAGGATCTCTGTAAGTTCAAGCTAGCCTGGTCTACAGAGGGAGTTCCAGGACAGTCAGGGCTACACAGAGAAACCCTGTCTTAAAAAAAATTTTTTTTTTTTTGAGCTGAGGATCGAACCCAGGACCTTGTGCTTGCTAGGCAAGCACTCTACCACTGAGCTAAATTCCCACCCCCCCCCCCAAAAAATTTAAAGCATAAAAAAGAAACCTTTTGGGGGCTGGAGAGATGGCTTAGCGATTAAGAGCATTGAATGCTCTTCCAGAGGTCCTGAGTTCAATTCTCATCAACCACATGGTGGCTCACAACCATCTGTAATGAGATCTGGTGCCCTCTTCTGGCATGTAGGTATCTGCGCACAGCACTCATATATAAAATATGAAGTAAAAGAGAGAGAGAGAGAGAGAGAGAGAGAGAGAGAGAGAGAGAGAGAGAGAGAGAGAAAACTTTCAGGTTGGAGTGATAGCTCAGTGGCTATGAGCATGTAGTGCTCTTGCAGAGGACCTGAGTTCAGTTCCCAGCATCCACATCACCTCTAACTCCAGCTCCAGGATCTCAGACATCTTCTGGCATCTATAGACACTGTAGTCATCTTCTGACACTATAGACACACACACACACACATACACACACACACACACACACACAATTAAAAGTAAAATAAAACCTTTACAAAAAATAATTAAGAAATCTTTGCCATCGCAGGACCCGACATCTATTCTTCCAGATCTTGCTTTTGGAACACGGAGTCTGAAGACATGAGCTTTTAAAGTTCAAGGCCCTCATTTCTTGCTTGCTTTCTTTTCTGGATTCCAATGGCATTTCCCTTCCCATACCCCCAATCATAACTCTAAAGAAAATGAGAAGTGGACAACACTTAGGCTCATTTCCTGTTTATTATTAAGGTGATTCCCACAAGTGTTTAATTACATGCATAGGGGGAAACATGGTAGAGAAAAGCTTTGACTATCTGAGGCTGCTGGAAGGCAAATGCGGTTACATGGATATTGGTCTGTGTGCCTTAGGACTACTACCCAGTGCCTGAACAGACTGCGCATGTTTGGAGGCCGGGGCAAAGGCTGGGGCTCAGGAGTGCATCCGTCTCCAGAGCAGTGTGGATGGCTTCTGGCTGCACATGGCTCTGACCTTGGCAAAGCTTGTGGTTTCTGACTATGTGTTTGAAAGCCCGGCTGCTTCCCCTGTTCGTGCTGACATGCACAGTGTGACATACATCTCATGTAGGGCCAAGGGCCTCTGGGTCAGTGCAAGCATTGTAGTGGTAGTGACAGTTCATGTCTGGCTGGTGAGGACCCTGACTGCTACCCAGGAGCGGCCAAGTTCATCCTTTCTCCGAATGTGCGTAAAGAAGAAAGATGTCACCAGCATCAACACTAACTCTTCTAGCTTCTCACTCTTCACTTAGGGCACTTTACTTGGTCTCTCAGAGTCAAGTGCCCAGGGCTGGGGCCCCCGGGCAGAGGGGGTTCAGCTTAGTGTCTGGCCTGAGACTGAAGGACTGTGAATTTCCCGTGCCTTGCTGCCCCCTGTTGAGTCGTGGGAATGCAGACATTCAGAACTTCCATCCAGGCCTCTGCGTTGGCATGGTTGGGTGCAGGCTGGGGAGGCCACAGCCAGCAAAAGACTCACTGTTGGGAGCTGTCTAAACAGGGTGCTGGGGGAGAGAGCATGGGCTGTGCCACATCACCTGGGCCCTGAAGAGCCCCCCCCCCCAACCACCACATGGTACCTCTGACAAAAGTTCTGACAGGTTGAGTAGGACAAAGCCCACCCAGTACTGTCATGCCCTGGAGAGGCGCCAATAGTCCTGCTTCCATGATTGACAGACATTTCCGCTCACAAGTCCTTCAGCCTCAGTCCGAATGGCATCAGCTGGGCACTGCCTGCTTGAGCAGAAGGGCTGAGTTATCACTCTGTGCATCTTTGGTGAAGCAAAGCTGTACAGTGCTTGCCAGCCAGGTCAGTCCCACTTCCTAGGCTAGTCCTAGGGCAAGAAGAAAGCGTTGGCCCTCCTGTCCTCCAGGTCCCGTAGCAGGTGAGCAGGCATGGGGCAAGGCTGCTGTCCTGGGTAGGTTGTTGTGTTCATGTTGTTCCCCAGTCAGAAGTCTGGCGCACAGGAGGTACCCAGTAAATGTTCGCTGAATGACTCAACTCATTTTAGGCCCTTATTTGTTTTGTTGTCTGGGGTCCAGTCACACCAGAGCTGGGAGAGGGATAAGAGGAAGCTTTGGCAGATACTTAGCTTCTACATGTCAGTTTAGGGTCCACCCCAAGCCCGAGCAGCCGGGGCCTCCTTCTGTAGAAGGCAGAGGTGAGCAGGTTCCCTAGTAGAGCTTTTGAACCAGGATCTGGGGCTTGCATTTTGCTTCTATTTCATCTGCATGTCCCAAACTAAAAGCTGTCAAGAGGGGAAAGGTGGTCAAGGTCTCCGTCTCGGGCTGGGGCCCCAGAGTATCTGCGACCACTCAAAGTGAGGATGGACTGCACTGGGGGGAGCCAGAGCTGGGGATAGTGGTCACCCCCAGTAGCCAGTGTGGCAAGTGTTGGGGGCCACAGGGACTCCGTGGTTGTGCTGCTTGAGAGTTGGGGAAGGAGCCAGGGTGAGAAGGGTAGTGTAGTCACAGCCCTGAGGCTCTGGACCCAGTACAAATGACCAGGACAATTAAAAGGCCCTTTCTGAGTGGCAGAGGACCTGCCTCACTGTTGCCGCCCACGAGTGGAGGGCTGGGCTGACCACTGACCCTCGGGCCAGGTTGCTGTCCTTCCTCAGGTAGGTACTGCCAAGCTAAGTGCTGAGAGGTGCCAGGAACACAAGTCAGGAAGGCTTTCTGGGTGTCCTGTTGGGGTGCCTCCAATTCCAGGTCTCATATGGTGACCATCTCCCAGAACCCAGGGGACCGCTTGGTTTTCCTCTCACCTCCAGAGAGGTCGTCAGGTTGCCTCGGGTGCAGAGTTCTACCAGGAGCAGGGCCAAGCCCAATGGAAACTGGGAGACACAGGCCTCCCCGCCTTTGCCAGGTGCTAGGGCTTTGGGGGCTATTTGGGGGGGGGCAAGGATGAGAGCTACAAAAGGAAGAGCTTGAGCATGAGAATGAGGGACCGGGCCTGCACCGTACCTGCTCCTCCTCAGGGGACACTGGACACGATGTGGCCACAGTGGGGGTGGGCACTCTGGAGAGAGGAAATAGTTGGGTGTTGGGTGTGTTGATGGACACAGGGGTGGCAACCGCCAAAAGCCCCTCAGGAGTTGTAGGCAGGACTTAGGAAAACCGGAGAACTCCGACGTTTCCTGGTTTTTTGAGGAGATTAAAAACTAAACCTGAAGCCCTTCAGTGGGTTAGTTAATTTGATACGTCAACTTGCCTGGGCAGGGCCGAGCCTCCAAATGCTTCTTATGGGGCAGCGGGGCAGTGATAGTGGTATTCTGGAAAAGATTAATTAGCGGATGAATCAGGCGCCAGGGGAAAGCCCCTTCCTCACCTAAGTTGGTGGTGTCCTTCAGTAGACTGGTGGGGGTGGGGAGTAAAATTGGTGGGAGGGCAAATTCACTGGACCTGGGACAGACGACCAACACAGTGCTCTGGGCTCAGGCATTCAGGCTGGCCACACCGATTTCTGGTGTCTCTGGTTTGAATCCTGCCAGCTTCCCTGGTTCTCCAGTTTGCAGATGACACCCTGAAGAGCTTCTTGGGCACCCGAATTTCTTGAGCTGTTTCCCATCATTCCCTCCTAGGGTGCGTCTCCATCCGCCCTTGTTCGCTTCATTTTCCTGGAGAGGGTGAGTGTTGCTGGGTTCGTGCTGGGGCACGTTGGTCCCTCTGGGGATGACCAGTGGTCCAACAGGAAGACAGGAAGCGTCTCCCTGGCACAGCGGGGCTGCAGGGTTGTGAACGGCAACAGCCCTGACCCGGTCCTACCGCCAAGTGCAGAGTCCACCTGCTGCCCTCCACAAGAGAGTGGTGGCCGCTGGTGATCCCTTCTGCTTGGTGGGCTGTTGGGGTGGCGGTGACTTGTCCCTGAGTTCCAAGGGAGTTCAGATGAGTTTGTTGTACCTTGTCATCAAGCTGTGACTCTCCAGGCCTGGCTCACTTGCCCACATGCCTGTTCAGTCTTCGGTGAGCCACATACGCTTTCTGAAACATCTCCCTTAGGTCATCAGGGTGGGATGGGGACCAGGAAAACTTGGAGTTCGTTTTGAGATTTCCCCCATGTTCCTCCGAGTTATAACATCCGTTAATTTGACAAATGCAGACCAGTTTCTGTGTGTATCTGACAGCTGGCGGCAAGCAGTCCGAGGCACAGGCAAGAGCTCTGTGTGAGGGGGTGACCCCCCAGCCAGTGGGACGCCATGCAGCTTGGCCACACAGGGGTTCCTCTCTTTAAGAGACTGAGAAGCATCAGGGAGGCTCGGACAGCCTCCGCCATGGAGGCCTCCTCTCTGTGGGCCTTGCTGTCTCCTCCCGAAGCAGTAGAGACTTGGGGCTGCTCTCTGAGCACAGCCTGCAAATCCCTGAGGAAGGCCTTGTTTCTGGTGACCTGCAGGCACAGTGCAGAGTCAGCGAGCGCCAGTACCCGGGGGAGGGGGGGAGGCTGCTTTCCACTGCGTTCTGTTGAGGGCAGTGATGTTGCTTGTGAAGTCCCCCCTGTCCCACCCCCCAAGTCAATGCTAGTCCAACCCCCTAGAAGTCACATTCAACCGCATGTTTAAGCATGCCTGTGTTCTCCCCAGGCCGGGGGAGGGGGCACTTGGCCTCCCCCACACAGAGGTGGCAAGTGCTTGGAGGTGCAATTTAATCACTGGGGGGGAGGCCAGTAATTAAATAGCAACAGTGGTTAATAAGACAACAGTTGCTGAAGAGAGCCCTTCAAAAGTACCCGCCCACACAGAGAAGTATATATATTTAATATTTATATCTATATATATAGAGAACTTCATTAGACGTTCTATTAAGGCGAAGCACAAGTCCATGGATTCCTCTCCCGGAGGACCTTTCCATCTCTCACAGAGTCCCTTGAGCCCCATGACCTGGCTTGCTGTCCTGTGCCTGTGGCTGGAGGGGTTGGCAGGGTGTGGCGGTCCCACAGGCACTGGCGTAAGCTTATCAACGCCCCCCCAGATGGCGCCTCCACACACCCCTCCTGGCCTGGCCCTCTGTGGGTGACAATGGCTTAGGCTTCCCGGAACCTACAGTAGTGGCCACGCTCCTCTCTCCCAACACATCAGGCCAAGGGCACAGCAATCCTGTTCCCCACATGGTGGGTACAGCATGTCCTGCCCAGGTAGGCCCACTGAGGTGGTTCAGGAGAGAATGCTCTAGGTGTCCTGGGAAACAGAGGCAAAAGATTGGTGAAGGCTTTCTGAAGCAGGGTTTCCACACAGGAGTGGCAGACCCACCCAAGGGGTCTGGGCTGGGTTCAGGCCTTCCACAGACTGGTAGAGGCCGGATGGCTTTGCCCAAGGCCACCTGGAGGCCCATGGCGCCTCCTTTCAGCTCCTGCTGCAGAGGGAAGGTACACCCCCTCCTCCTTGGTTCCCACTATCCCTAAGCAGGACAGCTGGCTGGCTATTTGTAGGGCCGCAGGAATCGAGACACTTTGGAACGGAGCAGTTTGATAAAGGACCGAGGGAACATCTCCTTGGATTCCTGAGCTGTGTATTTGAAGTAGTTTTGTGGGTGTGCCAACACGTCAAAGAGGGCCTTGATCAGCTTCTTATCCTGTAGGACATGAGGGGCACCGTAAGACAGAGGGCAGGCAGGGCATCTGGTCTCTGCCTACAGCAATGCTAGCTAGCTCCTGGAGAGTCCGGGAGCTTGAGGGCGGCAGCTGGTCAACCGTGTGCCTGTCAGACCATCGCAGCACCCAGCTCCACGTGGTGTGACAGAAAGCATGGTGACAGCTGAGTGAGGTGGGCCAGGGGGACGTGGCCCCGTTCCTGTTCTCGAACCCCAAGGCTGAGGGAACTACCATCAGGAGGCTGAGCCAGGGCCCACCAAGCCCAAGCTGATCCCCAGGACTGGTTCCATGCAGTGAGAGCCGGATCCTCTGGGCCTTGGGCTAGTGCGTGTGCTGTGCTGTGCTGTGCTGTGTGTGTGTGCGTGCGTGCGTGCGTGTGTGTGTGTGTGTGTGTGTGTGTGTGTGTGTGTGTGTGTATGACAGTCACGGTTTGCCCTCTGATATGGTGTCCTGCTTCTCAAGGCAGTAGGCAGGATGAGAAGGATGGGGTCCAAGCCCAGTGGCAGTGGGTGGACTCCACTGATTTTAGACACTGATCATAGAACCGCCCACATTTCACGGACGGGAGAGTGAGACCGAGGATTTCAGTCCAAGCACTTCACTAGGTCTTGGTCCCCATCTCCCTGGCAGCCATCTTGTTTCAAACCTCCTGGACGAGGAGGGTGGGGGTGGCAGACAGTCCAGACCCAGTCCTATGTCAGGGCCCTTGACCCAGCACCCTCCTCCCATCCCTTCTCCAGGGTCAGGAGTCAGGGCAAGGGCGGGGATGGTTCCATCTATTCTCCCAGAATCACAGGGATCCCACCCCCCCAAAAAAAAAACTTACTTTCAAAATCTCCTGATGGTTCTCCGAGGCGTACAAGCGCCCATCGCGCACGATGTCTTCGATTAGCTGCTGGTAGTCCTCTGGGAGCCGGCCAGCAGGGAGAGGGAAGGTGGGGGGGCTTGAGACCTTACACCTCCCTCCTCTGCCCTCCCCAGCTCCCTGGACCCGCCTTGGCCAGCTGGTGGTGGCTGGATGTAGCGCTGTCTCTTGGCCTTTGCTTCTGGGGTCCCCTCCACCTGCTTTGTCCTCCTGGTGGCTTTAGCTGTCCCTATTTAACCTCGCAAACCCTGGTGGGGCAGGACCTTCTGTGAAGCCCACAGACAGCACCAGGGGCCCCCCCTCTCTCACCTGTACCCCACACCCCTCGGGTTTCCACCTCGCCCTCAGTTCTGTCTCTGGGGTTGTGCCCCGGCTAAGGCAGGGCTGTACAACTCATTCCTGAGTCCCCAGGCCAGGCCTTGGCCGGTGCCGAGTGGGCTGTGAGAAGACAGTGGTGCCTTACCATCATAGGTGACGTAGGGCACTTGAAACCCTCTGCCGCTGTTGGCTTCGTTGGACTTGAACTGGATCCAGAGTTTGCGGGAGCGGGAGGTGAAGGCGATGGGCCGCTCGTAGGTCTGGCATGTCTCATAGGTGGTGACTGACGTGGGCGAGGCTGCGAGGATGCAGACCTCCTCAGGTCTCCACACAGCCCACTGCCTCAGGCCACTCACCTCCCCCATCTCCTCATCCGTCTCCGGCACTCGACCACCCAGCAGCCCCTTCGTTCCTCTGTCCCGCCCTGCCTTTCACCTGGCCCCGCTCACCTCAACCTTCTGAGGCCTGTTTCCTCACCCGACCCATACGGTCTCCCCACTGCTTCCTCCCTCCCGCCATGTTCCTGTTCCTCTTTTGAACCCCCCATTACAGCCTCTGTCTCCCTCAGGCCCATGGCTCCTCTGTGACAGGGACAGGAGACTGTGACGGGGGGGGGGGGGGATTCAAAAGAGTAACAGATGTAGGAGATGAGTCGGCATGGACCAAGGCTACCGGATGATGCTCAGGTCTAGAAAGCCCTCTCCCTTGAGGCTGAGCGACAAGGGTAAACTCTACGCTGCCTCCCTGATAGTCACGGGAGAGTTGCCTGTGGGTGGTCAGTGGCTCCTGATGGGAATGGATGGAGAAGGGAGTTCTGGCTGGGCTCAGACCAGCGGGGCGGGCCCCTCACTCCTTCTGGCTGCAGTCCTCCATGTGTACACTGGGGCTTCCTGGCCTGCCAGCCAGCCAACAAGTCCTAAATGCCCAGGCAACAAAGCCACATAGGACCTATGGCAGTCACCCCCTCCCCCCATACCTGTCTTTCTCTCTGCAGATGGTCTAGCTCTAGACCAGTGGTGTCGTTTGGGGCCTGTTTGGGCCTCTGGCCTTCTTCTTTAACACTCTGATTTGTAGTTCACTCCTAAGGGTGCCCACCACCCCGTCACAGGAAAGCCTCTGGACAGAATGCTGAGGACAGAGCCAGGTCCCTGCAGGCTTTCTCACCGCGGTGGCCTGTTGGGTGTGCTCTTTCTCCACCCCTGCTAAAGGCCTGTTCTGTTGATCCCTTCCCATCCTTCCCTCACCCGATAGGGTGCACAGCTCGGGCTTCAGGAAGGGCTAGCTCAGGCATCTCTATGTGTGTCTGGATGGCCCTTGGCTCCTCTAAGCCCCCGAGGGAGGTCAGAAGCCTATGGAATAGGAGGAGACTCCCAGGTCTCATTGGAGGTGTGGCGATATGAAGTGGGCACCGGGCACTGCAGCTGGCTGGACAACTGGAAGGGACTGGCTAATAGCAAGGGTTGAGACCAGAATTGACGAGGTCCCGATGCCCATCTCAGGGTAGCCCTAATCCTTCATGACCTTTCCCTAGAGTTCTGCACGGCCCAGTTCTTAGGCCTGGCTCAAGTAGGCTTCTCTCCTACCTCATGGGGACCTCGGCGCTACCTGCTTTCAGAGTCCTCCCTTCTGCCAATCTGGAGAAGGGCACGGGCACATGGGCTGTCTGCTCTTATCGTCCCAGCCCCAAACCCAGAACATACCGCTCTTCCTCATGACCAGGACATCGCCACATTCGTCCTCGATGGGTAGGAAGATCTCGGGGACCACGATGAGGATCCTGCGCTTGGGGGGCGGCGTGATGTGCCACACACACTCGGCATTGGCTGGGTAGTCTCCAGGGTAGTTGGGGGACTCGATATAGCCTGTGTAGTCACCAAGCTCGCCACCACAGTGCTGGTCTGGGGGAACCACGGTCAAAGGACTTGTCAGGCTGGCTGCATGGATGTTCTAAGCCTCACAGGCAGTAGAGGTGCGGGGCAGCACCAGCAGGTGCTCCTGTGCCAGCTAGTTAGGCCTTGTGCTGACCCACGGGGCTTGGGGAGGGGGATCCTGGCCTCAGCTGATACCAGAGAGTTCCCTGACACCCAGCCCAGGCTTTTCTTTCTCATGGGCCTCCCTCACCCAGCACAGGCCACGCTGTGTCTCTCTGCCTCTGTATCTCAGCTTTTATCACCCTAGGAGTTCTGTAGGCTGTCTGCTCCCAGCTAGCCTCACATCCCAACTGTGTCTCAGGTGTGAAAGGTCAAAGGAGGCCTCCCTTTGCATTTCCTGACACTCCTCAGCTCCACTGAATCCCTCCAGGCACTGGGCACAGTCGCCTTGGCCTACCAGAGGCAGGGCAGGGCAGGGGTGAAGGTGCAGAAAGAAGCAGGCGGGCCACACAGAGGACAGCAGTAGACCCAACCTTCCCATTGCTCTCCCTCCACTCTTTTTTTTTTTTTTTTTTTAAGACAGGGTCCTATGGAGTTCAGATTGGCTTCAAACTTGATACGTAGCCAAGGATGGCCTTGAACTCCCAATCCTCCTGCCTCCACCTCCCTCCCAAGTGCTGGAACGACAGGTGTGTGCCACCAAGCCAGGTCTATGTGGTGCTGGGGGATGGAACCTAGGGCTCGTACCAACTGAGCTACATCCCTAGCCTCTTCGTTTTAAAAGAGTACATTTGTTTGCTCATTGTGTGTGTGTGTGTGCGCGCGCGCATATTGAATCAGAAGACAGCTTCCACTGTCCTTACTTGGCCACAGGTGCCTCTACCTGTTGAGCCATCCTCCCTCCCAACCTTTTGAGACAGGATTCTCACTCTGTAATCCAGGCTGGCTTTGAACTTGAGATCCTCCTACCCCAATCTTCTGAGTGCTCCGGTTACAGGTGTGTGCTGTCTGCCCTGCTTCTTTATTTTCTTTCCAACTAAGCTGTTCATCTAAAGAGGCCAGATGTAACTTTTTTTTCCCCCAAGACAGGGTTTCTCTGTGTACAGTCATTGCTGTCCTGGAACTCGCTCCGTAGACCAGGCTGGCCTCAAACTCACAAAGATCTGCCTGCCCCTGTCTACCCAGTGCTGGGATTAAAGGCGTGCGCCACCATGCCTGGCTGTGATGTAACATTTTATGAGCCAGATGGTTCCTAGTTTTGAACTTACCACTTCAGTTCTTCAAAGGAAGTTGACTATAAATAGTAAACACTGGTAAATTTTCTGTACATTTCCACTTCCAAGGTTCTGAGAGCTGGGCATGGTGGCACATGCCTTCAAACCCAGCACCTGGGAAGTGGAGGCAGGTGGATCTCTAAGAATTCTAGGCTAGCCTGGTCTACACAGGGAGACCTAATCTAAAATAAGTTTCTGAGAAGCAGTTCTGCCTCCACTATTCTAGAATCTTCTCTCACATCTGGCTTCCCCACCTTCCTTAAAACATATTTTTTAAGTTATTTTTTTCCAGTTAAATATAATATTTAATTAATTTTTAAAACAAAGTGTCCGGGGCGCCTCTTCTGTGTTGGACAGATGATGTAGGGAGGGGGTGACATGGTAGGGTTGGGGACAGTCCTGCACAAAGGAGTGACCAAACCATCAACCTGTTCAGGCTTCTGGGTGGTTCCAGATGTGGCCAGCAGCCAGGGGAGGAACTAAGAACTTATTGGGGAAAGTGCGAAAACTAGAAACCCTGAGAAATACCCAGGCATGATGGCACACACTTTTAATCCCAGCACTCAGGAAGCAGAGGCAGGTGGATCTCTGTGAGTTCGAGGCCAGCCTGGTCTACGTAGCTAGTTTTAGGCTAGCTAGGGTTACATAGAGAGACCCTGCATAGAGAGACCCTCAAAACAACAACAATAACAACAACAACAACAACAACAAAGAACAGCAGCAACAAAAACTCGCAGAAATGGAGTAAAAGCCCTAATTTAGCATCCTGTTACACCCGAAGATTGCTGTGCCCAGAGCTGGGGGCTGGTAGGTAAAGGCCAAGCTGTCTGTACCATGTTTTCCTTTGGAGCCCAAGTCCCTCAGATGCCCTTCCACACGGGTCCATGCCCAGTCCCATTTTCTGTTGCTTTTGGATTCTGTATGGTGGCAGGTGGTGGCTTAGGTGCTATGTGCCTTGTACAGCTGAAGGCCTCGGTAGCTGCCTCGCAGCCTGCCATGTGCAGGCGGAATTTGCTTTCTTTCCCTGGGTACCCAGAAACTAGAGCAGGGTCTGGCCTGGGTTAAGGCTCAGGTGGTGTCAAGCATGCATCGGAATTATGAACTGTGGCACCACAATCCTGTTGACTGTAGAGTGGGCAGAGCATGGGCTGCCCCGCCCCCCTGCTTTGCCTGGGGCCAGCGGTCTCCTCTCAGAAAGGGAGGTCAGATCTCACTTATACCCCTCCCCATTCATTACCCAGCATTCCCAGCTTGCCTCCTGCTAAGAGCGACACTTACTTTTGCAATGAGTGACGTTGGTGGACCCATCAAAATCGGTGCTGGTGTTGCCCGGACAGGTGATACAATGGTTCTGGCCAAACTCGGGTTGATAGGTGCCCACAGGACAGCGGATGCACCGGTGGGTGGTGGTGTTGTAGTGGTGGCCGGGGGAGCAGTGCACTGCAGGGGACATGTGGGCGGGGTGCTGACAGGCAAGTGGAACCCCTGTGCTCCTAAGACCCTCCTCACCAAAGGGCCTCTTCGATTGATTTTCCTCACCATTATGGGGTAAGTGAGCCCAAAGGCGAGAGCGAGGAAGAGCCTAGGGGGTGTGCTATCCACCCCGAGGAGGTGTGGGGCTCCAGTCAGTCAGCAATGATGTAAGGACCAGACCTCCTTGAAGGGTGCAGTGGGGGCGACAGTCTGACTGGAGAGGGTGAGGGCAGGAAGGGAGGGGGAGTGGAGAGCTGCCCCGGACGCTTCTACAAAGCGAATGGGCAGCAGAGTTGAGGGTGGGGCTGCAGGGCTCTGCCTGGCACCGAGTGGGAGGGGACCCAGGGGACCCTCTGCCCGTGGCAGGCTCTGTGGCATTGAGGGTCCGGCCACCTGGCCTTGGCTGGGGGCACAGGGTCACAGAGGGCCAGCAGGGCAGGGGAACTGGGGGGGAGGGTCAGTGAGTGAGGAGGGGATGGTCAGGGGGCGGGGCAGAGGAGAGGGGAAGCCTGGAGGGTGGTGGCTGAGGTTGCTAATTCTGCTCTCGTGAGGCCCCTCTGCTACTGCTGCCCTGACTGTATCTCCTCTCCTTTACTCCCATCATCCTCTTTTCCATCATCTTCCTCTCCCTCCCCTGTAAGTAGCCCACCTACTCCCTTGAGGTACTGGTATCCCCCACTTTTGACACTTCCGGTGCTTGAGTCTCTCTGGTGTGTGACATGGTTCTGGTCACCCTTGTCCACCGCTGGACTCTCTAGACTCCCTCCCCTGACTTTGGGGTTAGCCTTGTGAAGGAGAACGCGGTGGTGCCAGGGAGTGTGTCTCTGAGGAGCTGACCCCCTTACCTTTGGCCTCACAGTCCTGGAAAGAGGCAGTCCCCGTGTGCTTGGTGAGCAGCCCACCTCCACAGGGGAAGCAGCCGGTACGCCCAGGCTCGGGCTGGTATGTGCCCACGGGGCAGGCCTGGCAAGGCTTGAAACCATCCACCGAGTAGTAGCCTGGAGAGCACTGGCCTGGAAGTCAGAAGTCACGGCTCAGGTAGGGGGAGGGGTGCTGCGGCTATGAGAGGGTGGCCCCTGCCCTCCCTGGAAAAGGTGTCCCAGGGTGGGTGGGAACAAAGAATGGGCAACTGGGGTTGGGGACACCAGACTCGGGGTCCTGAGGCTAACAGTTGGCTGTGTGGCCTTGCCAGCCTGTTTTCCCATCTCTCACCGGGTGAGCATGGGGTGGGGCTAAGTCAGGAGCAAAGGGCCTCACTGTCAAGCTGGGGTACAGAGGAGGAGGTGTGTTTGGGGCTTCATGCCCCAGCCTCCCAGGGGCAGGTCACTGTCAAGCTGGGGTACAGAGGAGGAGGTGTGTTTGGGGCTTCATGCCCCAGCTTCCCAGGGGCAGGTCTCAGGTGCTCATAGAAGGCATAGCCTGGGTTCTAGGCTGATGTTGTCTGATCTCTCAGCAGGACAGGGTGAGGAGGGTGAGGAGGGTGAGGAGGGTGAGGAGGATGGGGAGGGTGAGGAGGATGGGGAGGGTGGGGAGGGTAGGGAGGGTGGGGAGGGTCTCTGAGAACCAAGGGCCTAACTGGGACAAAGAAGGACCACAGGAAAGCCATCCTGAGCTCAGTAGTCCCTCAGAAACGTGGGCACAGGTGTTCTGATGTGGAGTAGGTTTAATGTCCTCTTGACCCAGGTCCTGAGATTCTCAGTTTCTATCGACATGGAGACTGTCCCCTCCCATGGCTACCCTGTGCTTTTATAGCTACTATTTCCTGGGGATCACATTCCTGGGGGTGGGCAGAGGATCAGGGAATAGCTGGCAGCCCCAGGGGCTCTGTTGAGGCCTGGGCTCTCATCCTGGAGAAGGCTCAGAGGTCTGCACTCCTCCAGGGCTCTACTCATGCACCCTCCAGGACCATATGCCTTTCCAGGGCTGAGCCCTAGGTGCGTTGTTCTCTAGAGTGAGTCCAGCCTGGCTCAGCAGGGGAGGCCTATGGGGAACTCTGATCCTCGGTGCCCAGGGGGCTGGGTGGGCAGTGAATGGCAGGGCTGTGTGCTAATACAACTGCCCCTGGAAAATTGAAAACTGGCTTCCCAGACACCAACAGAGCAAACGACACGTTGAGTTCTTTATGTAGAGGAAGTTCTGGCTAAAGTCGATCTCCCGGCTTGAGTGAGCACCTAGTAGACCTTGGAGTGTCACTTTGGCATTTGTGTGTTCTGTTACGAGCCACACCTTGGTCTGTCCATGACTGTGTGTGCACACCGTAAGGCCTTTCTTGTGAGTGGTGACTATGTGGAAACTGTGTGGCTTTGGAAAGGGAAGAGCTTTGGACAACGTCACAGTTTATAACAACCGTACATGGCACTTGCTTTCTCTCTGGGAGCCTCATGAAGGGATGGTGGGTCCTGCCCAGAACCTGTCTCCACCCAGCCCTCCCCCTCCAGGTGGGCCACACTCGCCTCCACATTCGGATACGTTGCGGGCACCGGCCAGACCCAGCCCTTCACTGCTGGGGCACGGCGTGCAGCTGAGCTGGCCCTCCATGTCCTGGTAGGTTCCCGACACACAGGGCACACACTGGCCTGGCTGACCGCTGAAGTGAGTGCCAGGTGCACAGGATACTGCAGAGACAGAGAGACAGAGAGACAGTGGTCAGGAGCCTCTCCCTGTGTGTAGTTAGAACACAGCCCTTACCCCCGGGGCTTTAAGAGCCTATTCAAAAGAGCGGAGAGCATCACCCAGGTGGCAGCCATCTGTGAGGACCCTTTAGGCTGGACCCCACTGCCCCTTCTTACAGTGGTTCACACAACCCTTCACCACAGCTGGTCTCTGGGTTCCATTGGGACTTCTGTGTCTCTCTGGCCTACATCCTGCCCTCAGCCTTTTTGGTCTTTTACCCAACATCCCTGTCCCCTAGATGCCTCTATCAGGCACCCCCTATCCCAAACTACCTCTTCCTTTCCTGCCTGTTTGAGCGAGCTGGCACTCAAGGACACAACACAGTGCAGAACCTGGGGACCAGCAGAAGGCCTGGGTGAGAGGGTCTGGTGGTGAACAGACTATTGTGGAGTCCTGCAGAGATACAGGGCAGCGGAGAGCCAGGCTGATGGGCTGCTGAGAGCCACCGAAGATGTTCATAGGAAAGGGCTGACCAGGGGCAAAGGGAGCCACATTTGTCACCGCCAGAGGTGAGAGGACAGATGTGTAAAGGGGAGGCTGAGGAAGATTGCCCAGTTGGATGCATGGGTATGGACTGCATTTTCATCTCAGACATACATACAGGCAGATACACACACATGTACAGACACATCATGCATACACACAGACACACATATACAGAGACACACAGACAAGAGGGGGGCGGAGGAGAGGAGAGGGGAGCGAGTGTGCGCCCAGGGGGCTACACAGTGTCCATAGCTGGAATATACCCATTTTCTGTTCTGTGTGACTAGGTTTCTGAAAACCGGCAATGATTCCCAGATAAGGAAGAGAACGATATCAACAAGCCCCTCACTGTCCCTCCTGGAGCTCATGCACATGTGTAGATCATGTTCTTTGTCCGGGGCTCCTGAGGCTGGTTCTCCAGCACCTTCCTGGGAGCAGGGTGGGAAGTCTCTGCATGTTCCTCACCCCCCCCCCCCCCCGCTTCCTCGACTTCCTGGATCAGCGGGTGATTCCAGGCTTGAGTGGCCGCACCCTTGGAGCCCCCTCTCCCCAGACTCTCCCTAGACACCCCTCTCCTCTCCTGAGGGTGAGACACCTGCTTCCAGGCCTCTCTGTCCCACATTTAGCATCTAGCCTTCCTTCCATGGTCACCTCCCTCTCTTCAACATCAAGGAGATGGTACATAGTGAGGACCACTCACCCAGGGCATGTGGGACTTGGAGTCGCATCTGTGGCTGCAAGGCCCTGCCCTTTTAGCTTCATTTTGCCTCTGTGCACACTGTCCATCATCCCCATGAGGACTAGGTCTCTGCCCGGAGGGCCACCACCCAAGCCTTGTGCTGACCCGGAATCTGTTCCCTCTCACAGGCCGTTCCCATGGGAGGCTGCCTGGGTCTGGCTGTGGTTGTTATCTCCAGCCCCTCTCTCACAGCTTTCTGGGCCTGGTCTCCCTACTTCTTAGGTGGTACCCTGAGGGGCCAGGAAACACTGTTTTTCTGCCCTGACTTAGCCTCCCAGGTCCTCAGCCTGAGGGCCCAGCTCACACACATCCTTCTCCTGAACCTGCAGACTAGAGGGGGCCCAGTCTGGTCCCCAGGGACTCATGTCTCACTTCTGTGACTTTGCTGTGCTGTCCTGTCCTGTCCCCTCTTCTCAGGGCTATGGTGGGGATCACGTGCCTGGTTCAGCACCAGAAGAGAGGAAGTGTGCTCCAAATGGCCATGATAACAGCAAATACTACACTCTCCTCCTTGGCAAGTCAGGCCCTGCCACATGTCTGTGGTCCCTGTATGCTCACTGCTGTTTACTAGGTTACCAGCGTCAGGAGGGACAGAGTTAGTGTCTGGGGCCGTGAGCAGGGACTCACCACACTTGCCATCCTGTAGTATCTGGCCTATGCCGCATGCCCCTGTCCCCTCCAGTGTCTTGGCTGGCCGTTGGGCCACTTCGTACTCAGTGCCCGAGACCTGGACGTAGAACTGGTGCCGGCTGATGGACTTGCGCAGAGTCTTGATGGTGGCCTGCAGGCTCTGCTCGGCACGTTTCCGCAGGCAGTCCGCTTCGCAGGTGTCTGCAGGGGTGGAAGGGACTGAGCGAGAGTAACTCTAACATGCTAATGGCTGCCTTCTCCGCTGAGGGCTCCCCCCCAGCCAGACCCTGTGCCTGGCTTCTGTTTAAACCAGCTCAGTACATTCTCACAGTAGACCCGGCTCAGTGTGGGTGCGGGCTTTAGAGATGTCTGACAGAAATTGAGGGTCTAAGAGGCACGGCTCATCCGAGACCACAAAGCACATCTGAGTCTGAGTAAGGCCTCTGCCCATTCAAGGACGGCCACTGTCCCCAGGGTAGTGTCCAGCTCTGATATGGCTGGATATAAAGTGTCCTCCAGGACTGGACAGATGGCGCAGTTGATAAGGGCTTGCTGCCATGCAAACACGAGGTCCTGAGTTCTGATCCCCCGATCCCTAACACCCACATAAAAACCAGGTGGATATGTAACCCCAGCGCTGGGGTAGGTAGACAGGTGAATGTCCCAGGCTCTTTGGCTAGTCAACCTATGGAGACAAGGAGCCCAATGTCCAGTGAGAGACCCTGTCAGGTATGGCTACTCCCCTTTAATCCTAGCACTTGGGAAACAGGATCTTTGTGAGTTTTGAGACTAGCCTGGTCTACATAGCAAGTTCTAGGCCATCCAGGGCTAAATAGAGAGACCTGGTCTCAAAAAAAAAAGGTGGTGTATTGCTGTGGATATCACTCTGTATAAATAAACACTGACTGGCCAGTAGCCAGACAGGAAGTATAGGTGGGACTAACAGAGAGGAGAATTCTGGGAACAGGAAGGCAGAGAGGGAGACTGCCTGGAGCCGCCGCCAGGACAAGCAAGATGTAAGGTACCAGTAAGCCTCGAGCCACACGTGACAAAGTATAGATTAATAGAAATGGGCTGAATATAAGAGTAAGAGCTAGACAATGATAGGCCTGAGCTAATGGCCAAGCAGTTTAAATAATGTAAGTGTCTGGGTGTTTATTTTATAAGTGGGCTCTGGGACTGGCGAGACTTGGTGGGACTCAGAGAGAAAAGCTCTCCAGCTACAGTGTATTGACCTTTTGCCCTCACATACTTGTTCCCCCGATGTGTACCAGCACCCCATCTTCTCCATAAAGGTTCCTGTACTGGCAGTGCCATCTGGAGAGGTCTGGGAACTTTAGGAGGTAGGGCTCAGGTAGAGGAAAGGAAGTAGGGCACAGAGGGAGATCCTCAAGGGTCCCTCTCTGTCTCTCTTTGCTTCCTGTCTGTCTCTGCTCCTCTTCCTTACCACTCCCTGGGTGCATCCTCTTCTCTCAGACACGGGTGCCTTTCTGTTCCTCTCCCCGAACCCCATTCCTCGACACTTCTACCAGATTAACTTTGATTTCAGTCTACTTTAGTAGACTTTCAGAGCCGCCGCTGCCGGCGGTGGCGGCACACACCTTTAATCCCAGCACGTGGGAGACAGAGGCAGGCGGATCTCTGTGAGTTCCAGGACAGCCAGGACTATGGAGAGAAACCCTGTGTTGAGCCCCCAATCCCCCCCAAAAAAGAAATCTCCCAGTACCTTCCCTTTCAGACCATGGCTCTGCCCTTTGTATTCACGCGGCTCATCCACCTGGTCTCACCCAGCACAGATGACTTACACACATCTGCCTCCCCATAGATGAGACTGTTCTAGGGCAGGGGCCATGGCCACAATGCCCATGGCCCAGACCAGGCACATACCACTAAACACAACTGCCAACAGCAATCAACTCTGCCACTGCCTACCACTGGAACAGGTAGGGTGGGTGCATGCCTGTAATCCCAGCATTTAAGAAGTGGAGGCAGGAGGATCAGGAGTTGAAGACCATTTTCAGCTGCATATCAACTTTGAGGGTAGACTGAGTTACATAAGACCCTGTCTTAAGAGCAAACAACCCAAGCCTAGCATGGTAGCGCATACCTTTAATCCCAGCACTCGGGAGGCTGAGGCAGGAGGATATCTGTGAGTTTGAGTCTAGCCTGGTCTACATAGAGAATTCCAGATCAGCCAAGACTGCAAAATAGAGAGAGTCTATCTCAAAAGGACTAAAATAAAATAATAATAATAATAATAATAATAATAATAATAATAATAGATCAAATGACTCACTTGTCACCCGCCACTCACCTATAGCTAAGAAGGATTGCTTATATGAAGCGCAATCCTGTATTACAAGCCCCCCTCCCCTGTTGGATGGGAAGAGGGCCTGGTTCAGCCACTGTCTCTGTCCCTTCGCTGTGCTCCGAGTGTTCCCCTGAGTTGCCTCCTGTACTTGGGGCTACGGGGCTTGGCCAGCAGTGTGTAGCACTCCCAGCAAGCCCCCCACTTTCCCATGGGCTCACTCAGCCTCATGGCCACCAGACTCCCAGCCCCCAAGAACACTTCACCCACCTGAGGCCTCATCCAGCTTCAGCTCCACTTCAAACTCTGCCGTGATATGGGACACCTCCTTGGATGGGGACTTGCGGCCTCGGCGCCTCTTCTTGGAGGAGTCACACTTGAGGGTCACAAAAGTCACGTGGCAGTTATCTGGACAGAGAAGAGTACACTGTGGTGGTGTGGAATATTACTTTAGCTAGGCAAAGATGTGACACATTTGTTTATGCTTCAGAATATTTCTGTAACTATGTGAAGATGTGTTACATTTGTTTCACCCTGCCTGCCTAACACACCTGATTGGTTTAATAAAGAGCTGACCAGCCAATCGCTAGGCAGGAGAGGGATAGGTGGGGCTGGTGGGCAGACAGGATAAATAGGAAGAATGGTGGGAAGAAAGAATAAAGAGAGAAGAGGAGCGAGAAAGAGAGGGACACACCGGGGCCAGCCAGCCAGGCAGCCACCAGACAGACAGACAGACATAGAAGAAGCAGGAAAAGCAGGACATACAGAAAGAAAAGGTAAAAAGCCCCAAGGAAAAATGTAGATGAAGAGAAATAGGTTAATTTAAGTTAAAGAAAAAAAAAAAAAAAAGGATAACCAGAAATGAGCCTAAGCTGGGCCGAGCATTCCTAACTAATAAGAAATCTCTGTGTCATGATTTGGGAGCTGGTTGGTGGCCCAAGAGAAAGAGCCTGGTACACTGTGGCAAAGGTGATCTGTGTCGGAAGGAGAGTCCTTCCTAGCCCCACATGCAAACTCCTCTGGGTAAGGCCCCTCCATGCCCAGGAGGCCATGGAAGAGATGGGGATACTGAGGCAGCAGAAGATCTGCTCAGGGTCCCACAGGGACTGGGGGCTGAAGTGAGTCTCAGGCTCAGCCTTGGGGGACATACCACCACATATGGAGGTACCTCAACACTGACTGAGGAGGCCATGTGTCCACTCATACCTACTGGAGTTTTGGCCAGGAGACCTACACCCAAGACCTGAAATCTCTTCCATCAGGGCTCCACCAGGCCATAGAGAATGTGTGTGTGTGTGTGTGTGTGTGTGTGTGTGTGTGTGTGTGTGTGTGTGTGATTTAATCCTGTGTAAGGTGCTGTCGTACCCATGTTCCTATGTTTCCCATTCATGACCATTGCTTATAGTGTAGACCAGACATGGCTCAGAGGGCTTAGGGGCCCTGGTGGAGGACGGACAGACAGGAGCTTATGCTTGGCAGCCCAACCCAGCAGGACTGAGGACTTCTCCTCCATTCCCTGAGTAAGCAAGGGAGGATGATCCACTTACCCAGAAGGGGGTGCCTCAGGGTGTCCTTGGCTCGCTCCTGGCTCCGGGGCCGGAGATGGCACTTGGCATCTCGGATCTTGAAGCGGGCCTTCTGTCTGATGGGGGTGGTGGGGGCATCTGGGGAAAGCCAAAATTCCCCCAGGTGGCGGCCTCTCCTGTGGGCAAGGAGGTAGTGGGGGACGGGGGCTGCCAGAGGACAGGTCCTTCTGGAGCTGGGTGGGACTTGATGTGGGCCATTCTGCCCTGGCAGTCCTCCTGGGTGGAGGGCCTTCCCTGCCCCACTTATTTTTCTCCCTGTAAGGCCCCAAACAAGTACACCCATGGCTGGTGGGGTCAAACTCAAGGCCAGGGCCAGGTCGAGGTCTTCTATCAGGAGGAAAGAACACTGCTCACCTCCTCTTTCATGGCCAAAGTCATTGACATGGCTGTGCTTTTAGGAAAGGGGACAGAGAGGGTAAGGAAGGGAAGGACTTCAAACCTTAGGACACCTAGAATTGTAGGCCCCTTCAGAGCAGACCTCAGCTCCACGGCCTAGAGTCCTGTGACCCTGGATGCTCATGAACCCATCCCTAGATGTGTTAGGCACAACATCCCAGCATTCTGTGCAGTACTGGGAGCAGGCTTGGTTCTGAGAGGCAGGGACTCTGAGCAACCTTTTGAGAATAGTATTCAAGGGCAGCTCTGTGGGCTAAGTTCATGGCTATCCTTTGCTGCATAGCTTGTTCAAGGCCAGCCCGGGCTCTATACGAGAGACACCCTGTCTCAAACAATGGCAGTAACAGAGGGCTGTGGGATCACAACATTTGTAGTTAGTGAATCACTCTACTACTGTGACCTCAGTCAGAAAGGCCTCTGGTAGCTCCCTGACTGTGGGCTGGGCCTCAGCTTTCAGCCTCCAGGCTTTTAGGTCCTGGTCCTGTCTCCAGAATCCCAAGCCACGACGGGTAGGGCCCAGAATGGAAAATGCTTCCCTGGGCGGTCCCCCCTCCCTTTCCTCAATCATGTACTGGATGAAAAATGAAAGGGTCATCTAGGCATGCGTGGTGTGGACAGGCCCAAGGTTACCTGAGCAGCTGGGCCCTGCACCAGAGCTGGTGCCATTGCGTTTTGGTAGTGTCTTGCCCTGGAGACCCGGAACACCGCAGCTCAGGATGTAGCTGTTTTCTGAGTCTGTGGAGAGGCCAGTGGGTAAGGTTGGTCAGGGCGTACCTCCCTCCTCGGGTCCCAGATTCCTGAGGCCTCCAAGGGGTCGCTGGATGAATTGAAGATCAGGACCGTGGAAGCTACCCAGGTCCACAGAGAGCCAGACAGTGAGCGGTCTGGGAGTGCTCCGGGACTGGGAGCCCTGCCCGGGGTTCTGTCCCGCTGAGCAGGTGTGTACCTCAGGAAGCAACACACTGACCCATCCCAACCCAGAGGGCCAGGGGTTACCTGGCATGAAGAGACTGTGGCCCAGGCAGGACAGGAAGCAGTTCTCCACTCCACCCACCTTCCCGCAGGACAGCTGGGCCTGGGCAGAGGCCTTGGACCGAGACAGGCACCCGCTTATCTCTGAGGAGAAGAGAGAGACAGAGAGGCCGTGAGTAAGATCAGAGGACCTCCGGGTGCTAGCAGGGGCCTAGTTCAGTCTCCCAACCCCCTCACAGGGCCAGACTGGAGCAGGAAGGCACCTGGGGGCAGGAAGATGCAGGCCTATTTGGCAATGTGGGGTGCTGGCCATTGACAGCCCCCTTATTCTGTACCCCTACAATTCTGGTCTTGGCTGTTTGAGGAAAGGTCATTTGCATCCCCAGACAGGAGCTCTGGAAGACGGGTGTGTCCTCAGAGCAGGTGCCTGGGGCCTAGCCGGGGTCAGAGACAGCTCCACAAGAACATAGGTATCTGGGCAGGAACCAACTTTGGGTACAGGGAGGGGCAGCACCCCCATCCAGGAGGCACTTGAAGATGTCCAAAGCAGCTCTTTAGGACATCTCCTGTGGTTATTGTTAGAAGATTGAAAACATCAGGCTGGAGAGATGGTTCATCAGTTAAGAGTATTGGCTACTCTTCCAGAGGACCCAGGTTCAATTCCCAGCATCCACATGGCAGCTCACAACCGTCTGTAACTAAGGTTCCAGCAGATCTGACACCCTCACACAGACATACATGCAGACCAAATACCGATGCACATAAACATAAATAAATGAAGACTGAAAACATCATAGGGAAAGGGGCTAGGGAGATGACTCAGGTGATAAAGTGCTTTGTTCTGCAAGATTGAGGACCTGAGTTCGGATTCCCCAGCACATAAAAGCCAGGTGTGATAGCACCTGTCTGCAGCCCCAGCATGGGGGTGAATGGTGGGGGTGGGGGTGATGTCAAAGACAGGTGGACCCCTGGAGCTCTTTGGTCAGCCAGCCTAGCTGAATCAGTGAGTTAGAGGTTCAGTGAGAGAGTCTGCCTTAAAAGAATAAGGTGGAGGGCAAGACAGAGAGGGAGAGGGAGAGGGAGAGAATGAGAATATCTGATTGATAGGTAATGGTAGCTCTGAGCCAGAGCAGCAGAATGCCATACATTCTGAATCAGTTTCAGGGAAGCCGCTCCAGTGACCAGATCACAAGGCTCCGTCAGGCCACAACCCCTCACAGCCAGCACAGGCCACACTTAGACTCGCTCCGGTCCAAGCCCTAATACCACCCGAAACAAATCCATCTCACACTTCCTCTGAAGATGAGCGCTCGGCTTTGCTCAGAGAGCAAGCCTGAAACACAGCTCTCCCTTGCAGAGGCCAATGCTCAAACTTCCCGTGCGAGATGCTGAGTGGTTGACGCTTCCTTTGGCCATGCTGAGCATACCTTCTTGCAGCTTCCTCTCCCCAGCGCATCCACCAGCACCTATAGTCATCCTGTTCCTCCTGATCCAGAATTAAACCCAGGACCTCACACATGCTGGGGAAGCCTCTGCCACTGAGCTGAGCTGCCGGCCCAGCCACCATGCTTCTGTCGTCTTTCTTTCTGTTTAAAAGTTTTATGTGTATGGGGGTTTTAGCTGTATGCATGCCTGTGTACCCAGGTGTGTGCCTGGTGCCCATCAAGATGAAAAGAGGGTGTTGGATCCCCTCGAACTGGAGTTCCAGATGGTTGTGAGTTACTATGTAGGTGTTGGGAATCGATCTTGGGTCCTCTGGAAGAGCAGCCAATGCCCTTAATTGCTGAGTTAGGCCTCCAGCCCCTTCTGACTTTTCCTTTCTTTCTTTCTTTCTTTCTTTCTTTCTTTCTTTCTTTCTTTCTTTCTTTCTTTCTTTCTTTCTTTCTTTCTTTCTTTTTTTCCACGTTTCGAGACAGGGTTTCTCTGTGTAGCTTTGCACCTTTCCTGGATCTCGCTCTGTAGATCAGGCTGGTCTCGAACTCATAAAGATCCGCCTGCCTCTGCCTCCCGAGTGCTGGGATTAAAGGCCACCACCACCCAGCCCCTTCTGTCTTCTTTAATAATCCTTTGTTTCCTTGGTACTGAGCTCTGTACTTCATTATACAGAATTCCATTAAAATCATGTGTTCATGGAGCTGGAGAGATGGGTCAGCGGTTAAGAGCACTGACTGCTCTTCCAGAGGACCCAGGTTCAATTCCCAGCACCCACAGGGCAGCTCACAACTGTCTGCAACTCCAGTTCCAGGGGATCCAACACCCTCACACAGACATACATGCAGGCAAAACACCAACGCACATAAACAAATTATAAAAATGATAATTTGTCCAGGGCAAGAGGGGAGCTCAGCTGGTTAGGTCCTTGTCCCCCGAGCATGAGGCCCTGAGTTTGATTCCTAGAGAGCACATGAAAGAAGTTGGATGGGACATCACAGGCTTGTCATCCCCGTGCTGGGGAGGCAGAGTCAGGCTAATGGGAAAGCCTGCTTGGTGAGTGACAGAGGCAGACATCTGATGCCCTGCTTGGGCTTCCACGCGGGTGAGTATCCACGCAGCCATGTCGTGGTTCACGGAACTCACTGACTGTGTTAAAGCCATGCTGCACAGCATGCTGAATTACATGGGTGAATTCTGCGCATGGCATGTGAGCTACGTCCCCATACAGCTGGTGACAGAAAAATCTCACCGTGATGATCATGGACTAAACCTCCTAAGCTGTGAGCAAGCCCCCAAGGAGATGGTTTCTCCTTTAAGAACTGCCTTGGTCAGGGTGTCTCTTCACACAGTAGAACAGTGACTAACTAAGCTTGGCACATCATTCCGGGATAGCACCACAGTGAAGACCAGAGCTGACGCCTCGGGCATCACTGGCTACGGGAGGGTGGGCACGGAGGAGGGGGGTTGGTATGGAGCAAATGCAGCAAGGGTTGTGGGGGGGCTCTGATGGCCATTCTAACAACTGGACCCTGGCTAGACATGCTGGGGCACGCTATAACCCCAGCACTTAGGAGGCAGAAGCTGGAGGGTTCTATGAGTTTGAAGCCAGCCTGGTCTATATAGTGAGAGCCTGTGTTAAAACAACAGAATAAAAAGGGGTGAGGGCGGGCCTGCGCTTTGATTCTCAAGGGCAGGAAGCCTTGCTGGAGGGCTCTCAGAAGAGAGAGTGTGTGAGCTTTCATTATTTTTTCATTAATGGGGGCTAAACCTAGGGCCTCGTGTGTGCTATTCCCCAACCTTCTTTTTACTTCAGTTTTGAGACTGGGTCTCGCTGAATTGTTTGAACTCATGGAATTCCCTCAGCTGACCTTGAACGCACTCTGTACCTAGGCAGGTGCTGACTTTTCCATCTTCCCGCCTCAGCCTCTGGAGTAGCTGGGATTTCGCAGGTCCACACCCCTGTGCCTAGCAGCTGCCTTTATGAGGCTTGCTTTGGTTGCCTAGGACATCAGAGCATGGCAGGGCAGCCATCTGGAGAGCGAGTTCCAGGAGGATAGGCACATGGCATCCCCAGAACTGCTCCCTGGTCCTGTGGGGGGTTCAGCTAATCTTTTACTCACTGGACCAATGAACACGAGTCATCGGAACTCAGCAAGAGGAGACAGGGCCCTTGCGGAGAGGGCATAGGAAAGCAGGGCTGCCTAAGGGGCAGTGCTGGCAGCTGGGTGGGGATTAGGGGTGGGATTTGCAGGCCTGGCGCTGCCACCGTAACCACAGGGGTCTAGCCAGTCTACGCCCTGGAACTTCAGAAGGCCCAGAGGACCCGATGGAGGTGAGGCCATCAGTCTACCTCTTTCCGCTTCCAGTAGGGTCCCAGGCTCAAAGCATTGGCTTCGCAGACTCCCAGGTCTCCTGCTCTGTGGTCCATTTCCCCACTTCAGGGCCTTTGTTCCCGTGACCCTGGCTGACACAAGGCTTGCCTGGCCTCCAGTGTCCCCCTCACCAACAAGCCCTGTTTCCCACTAGCCAACCCCAGTGACAAGAGACCCCTGCCCACTAACCCAGGACCCAAGGAGCCCCCCACCTCTGCAGTCACTGTCTCTTGCATCCCCACCCCCATGCAGAGGGCAGGGCCAGCAGGTGACCCCTCCCTACTCACCCACACAGTCCTTCCGGTTCCAGTGCAGCCTCCTCCCCGGTGGGCAGACACACTCGTAGCTGCCCTTGGTGTTGACACAGCCCTGCTCACAGCTGCCGTTGTTCACGCTACACTCATCCATGTCTGGAAACACAGGCACGAGAGTGAAGGCAGGAGGGGGCGGGGACCACCAGCCCGGGCCACACCCCCGGTGCTGGGAGGGCAGGGGGGCACCCAGAACCAGAGACCAGGAAGCTCCTGACCCCAGCGCAGCCTGGGAGACGTCCCAGGAATCACGGAAGTCTCATCTCCCTAGGGAAAGCACCAGCTCCTTCCCTGCCTTAGTTTCCCCGTTCCGCACCAGGGTGAAAAGAACCACCCGAGACCCCCTCCTCTGACCCCTTGCCGCCTCTAGGCAAGGACTAGCTCTTCCATCTCCAGGCCACCCAGCGGCCAGCACACAAGTGTCCTGCCAGGCAGGGAGGTGGCACTTGGTGTTCGAGAGTCCCTTGACAGCATCTAGTGGCTACTCCGCCCCTGTCTCCAGTATTACCTGGCCCTCTCAAGCTTCATCCTCTCCTCAGGTCACAGAGGAGACTCCCCTCCCCCACTCTCATCTTCACCAGCCACATCTGGCCAGAGGCCCCTTGGCTCAGTTTATGCTCCCGTTCTCTTTGGTGCTGGGCATGGAATCCAGCAGGGCCCTAGGCAAGAACTCCCTTCCCAGGCTTGATGGCTCCCGAATCTTCTCTCCATCTCTGGCCCCGGCCCCCACCCCCGCCTCAGAGGCTCAAGGTTTCAAGCCATGGGTCCTCTCCCTCCTGGGCTGCCTGGATCCTGTACTCCTTTTCTCCACAGCCAGAGTCTATTGTTACACGAATATGACCCTACTGCACACTGCTTCAAACCTTCCTGCTGCTGTAAAGAAGCCCTTAAGCGGGCTGGAAAGATGGCTCAGAGGTTAAGAGCACTGACTGCTCTTCCAGAGGTCCTGAGTTCAATTCCCAGCAACCACAAGGTGGCTCACAACCATCTGTAATGAGATCTGGCGCCCTCTTCTGTATACATAATAAATAAATAAAATCTTAAAAAAAAAAAAAAAGAAAAGAAAAGAGAGAAAAAAAGAAGCCCTTAAGCATCCTCCAGGCTCGCGCAGCCCTGTATATCCTGGGCATGCATCTCTCTAGGGGATAGTAGCCTGTTTCCCGCTGCTTGTGGGCTCATCTCAAGTACATCCCCAGCCTGTGACTCTGTACATGCACTTCCCTCTGGATTGCTTTCCCATCTTGACCTAAACATTCCTCCTTTAGGTTTCTCATTGTCTTACCATCCTGCCTTTCTCCAGAATGTACTTTCTGGAATTTTCTATGCACTGGCCACCCCCCTCCACTTCTGGACTGAGGCACCCCAGAAATAAGGTTCTGGTCTTATGTTTCCAAGCTGGCTAAGGTACCCTGTGGTACTTTGCATGCCCTGTCTCCCCGCACCCTTCTGTCCTTTACCCTGTGCCTATGCTTGGCAGAAACCCTCTGTCCCCAAAGTTCCCAGCCTTGCAAGGTCCCTCCCAGGCCCACCAGGGTTCAGGTGGGGGTTGGGGCATGGGGAGCAGTGTTGATGGCCATGTGGCCAGGCGCGTGCCTCGAGGGGAAGGTGGCCCTGGTGGGCGGGCTGCAGACCTCCGCAGTGGGTTGTCCCGTAGAGTGTGTAGCCTCGGTGGCACAGGCACTGGAAGCCGCCAGGGGAATTGATGCAAATGTGGTCGCAGGTCCGCTCGAAGGAACACTCGTCGATGTCTGTGGCCACAGGGAGACAGCGTGGGGGTCAGTGTGAGGTGACTAGGTAGGTCTGCCACCCAGTGAAGGTCCCATCTGGATGGTCCCTGGGTCCTGAGACTCAGCACAGCCTCCCCAAGTCTATTAGGTTCTTGTTGCTCACTTTCCCACACTGCCTCTAGCCCTGTTTCTAGGGCAGAATCCCCTCACATCTGTTCTGGAAGTGGGTGGGGCAAAATATCGTGAGTAGATGATTATTTTGGGACTCTTTTATGTTAATATCTCATTAGCCCGTGGTTAGGAGAGATATTTACATTGTGTGTGTGTGTGTGTGTGTGTGTGTGTGTGTGTGTGTGTGTGTGGTGTATGCACATGTGTGCATGTGTGTATGTCCATGTGTTTACCTGTGCATACAGGTGCAGGCCAGAGGTCAATGTTGGGTATCTTCCTCACTTGTTCTCCATCTTAATTACTTATTTAAAAATGTTTATGTTTTAAATTATGTGAGTACAATATCCAAGGAGGACAGAAAAGGGCACCAGAGCCCTAAGAGCTGGAGTTATAGGCCATTGTAAACTCTTGATGTGGGTCTGGGGACCGAACCCAGGTCCTTTGCAAGAGCAGTTCATGCTCTTAATCGCTGAGCCATTGCTCCAGACTTAATTAGTTTTTTTTTTTTAAAGATTTATTTATTTATTATGTATACAGTGTTCTGCCTGCATGTGTCCTTGCAGGCCAGAAGAGGGCACCAGATCTCCTTACAGATGGTTGTGAGCCACCATGTGGTTGCTGGAAATTGAACTCAGGACCTCTGGAAGAGCTGTCAATGCTCTTAACCACTGAGCCATCTCTCCAGCCCCCTTAATTAGTTTTTGAGACAGGGTCTCTCACTGAATGGGAAGTTCACTGCCAGCTAGAGTGGCTGGCCTGTAAGTCCTCCTCTCTCACCCCGCTCCCATGCTGGATTTACAGGCCATGTTGTCAAGCTTGGCCTTTCCGTGGCTGCTGGGAATATGGAATCTTCAAGCTTGCTCAGAAAGCGCTTCCTACTGAGCCACCTCCCCACCCTGTTTTCATTTTACTTTTGAGACTGGGGTGTGTGCGTGTGATCTCATGAAGTAGCCCAAGCCGGCTTTGAATTCCTGTCTCTCCTGCCTCTGCCTCCCAGGTACCGGGATCACAGGCCTGAGCTGCCTTGCCTGGATAGAAAGGGAACACATGTCAGGAAGGAAAATGACTGGGACTTGCACCAAGAACTCTCAAGAGCTGGAATGGAATATACACTCGTAATGTTGACCAAAGTGTGTTCTCACCACTCCAAGATGTTTCTGGAGAGGTTAAGTAAAGGGTCACAGTAGAAGAGGGCCAGGGTGTATACTACCCATAAGGCTTTAAAAGGTTGTCCTGATAGCATAGGATATTTGACGATGAACTTCCTTCTTACAGACAAAAAGAGAAAGGAGGGTCACGTGCTGCCTGCTCATCAACCATCCCATAATACAGAGGTTGGTACCAGAGACTGGGGTATTTGCTGTGAGAGGCCTGATCATACTGTTTGTTGGAGGACTATGGAAGACTTTGGGACTTTGGACTGGATGCTTTAAGTGGGACTTAGTGGGCCGTCCTTGTAGGAGCATGGAAGGCAGTGCTGAGGGCAATTTGAACTGTGGGGGCCCAGGTCAAGAGGCTCCAGAAGGGAGGAATATTAGTAAGTGGTTTAAAGAACATTCCTGTGGGGCTGGAGAGATGGCTCAGCGGTTAAGAGCACCAGCTGCTCTTCCAGAGGTCCCGAGTTCAATTCCCAGCACCCACATGGTGGCTCACAACCATCTGCAATGAGATCTGACACGCAGGCAGAACACTGTATACAAAATAAAATAAATCTTTA